CACACATTGTTTGGTTGAAGACCACAATACAAAGTTCAGAGAACTGTGGGTTTTGAAGGAGAGCTGTGTTTTGGTTTGTACCTTGCCTTCAGAAGCGTGGATCAGGTAGTTTCTAATTAGAATGCAAAGAAAACAGAATGCATCTCCTACATTCTCTGACCTCTGCTGTCTTGAGCAGGCCTGTTTTGAAGGGCTGTAACTCAGTGGTAGAGAGTGGTTGCTCACCCTTCTCAGGGAGGCGACAGCTGTGGACCTTCACCCCATCAGCCATCCCAGCAGCAGCAGCAGCCCAAGTGCTGCCCAATAGCTAAGGGAATTCCCCAGCCAGCAGGGTTTCCCTCCGGAAAGTCAATATAAAAGGGGCCAGAGGCCCCGCTGCAAGGTTCAGTGCCTAACAGTAGCTCCAGATAGGGCTAGAGGGCTGCTGACCATACTGAACTAAATGGATTACTCAGTATAAGGCAGCTTCCTATGTTCCTTCAGCTGCAGTGGTGGATGTGACCCTGTCGCCAGCATTGAAGCAAGACTCAGCTGCCATTCCATTCAGCTTCTAAACATGGGATGGTGGAGTGACATTGTGTCCTTTGTCAGGGCAAAACATTCTGATCTGGTCCTTCTTTCTCCAGATGTGATCTATCCTCAAGCCGTGTGTTCCCATCAAACAAAAACTGCATACAAATAAGCAGTGGGGGCGGGGAGTGATATAAGCCTGTTCTGTGCAAACATTGCCAGGATTGCTGCTACATGGATGCTTTATTAGAAACAAAGGAAGGAAGCTGCCCCCTTTTTAAATTGTGTAAAACCATCGGTCCATCTCCAGTTGTCTCTCCCAGCCCTGCCAGGGATTGAACCTGGGACCTTGTGTAAGCAAAGCAGGTGCTTTACCACTGAATTATGGTCATTCCCACATCATTTAAAATCATGATCACATAACATGAATTAAGACAAGGAGGTATTTCTGGCAGACAGCAAACATCAGAGAGAGAGGGGGAGAGAGAGAGAGAGGCAGAGAGAGATTTTGGTCACTCCAACATTCAACCAGCTTACAGCCACGTCTTCTACTTTCCAAGCATATATCTATATTTTTTAGAGTCCCATTCTGGAGAAATCTCCAACCACTGAATATCCTAATATTCAGAAACCACCTAGAAAACTGGTCCTGATTTTTTTCTAATGTGGTGGAATCCCATCTGCAAAGATATACATGGGTGACCTCACTTTGATGAAAGAAATATAGAGGCTCGGAGATGGTCTGTAATGGTTTTCTGGGTTGTGCTGACAATGAGATATTGATTGGTCTTGAGCAGCGCAGGAAATTAAAAAAGAAAGAAAAAGGAGGGGTGATTAATCTTTGTCAGTCCCCAAAAATGTGACGCACGACTTCTCTTTCCTATGAGGGACTCTTTGACTCACTTAATCAAAGGCTGCATCTCATTTGGAAGCTAAGCTGCTTTTGTGGAATGGGAGCAGGGATCCCATCAGAGAGGGGTGCTTGGGAAAGTGCTGCATGATTTCCGTACTCCAAATCTCCTTGTCTCAGCTGTTGCCTACCCTCCGTAGGGCTTTAAATGTAGGAAAATGCTCAGTGAAAATCTTGTGGTGGTCATGGTGGTGGGGACACAGATTGAGGGACAATTTGGAGTGGGGAAAGGGCTAAGCACCCCTTCCTCTTGCAGTTTCAACTGATCATTCTCACCTGTAGTGTTGTTGTTTTTTAATCATTAAAACAGGTCACAAGGCTCCCATGCAGTCTGAGCTTATAGCAGTCCAGACCTAAGCACCCAAAACAGCAGGGACAATGGTCAGAGGTGATGGAAGATGAAATCCAAAATGCCTGGAGGGCACCAGGTCAGGGAATACTGCTATGCAGTTCAAAGTGACTTCAGTCCTAGTAAAGAGTGGTGGTCACACGTGAGCGGGAATTGGGACCTGAGTTTTAACTCTCTAGGTTTTCTCGTTTCACTCACTCCCAATCTGAACAACCTCTGAGGTCTTGCATGCCTCCCATTTCTCCAGACGAGCCAGTCGAAACGATCCAGTTTTCTGAACAAATCCACAAGCTGGGTTTTTTTTAGAAAGTACATCTTAATATAAATAAGTTTATTCAGTGCATGGTTGTATACAACAAATAATAAACATCTCCTTGTACAAAGCAGTCTGAAACAGCTCGAACCGATCCATGTCAGCTTTGTACAAATCTGCAACAGATGCTGACGTTGAGCAATGCACGAAATCGTAACATGTCATGCAACTCTTAAGCCAATATTCCAACTTTCTCCCATGCAACGGATATGAGGAACTAAATGGAAACCTAATGAATTGTTTTTAAATATATATAGGTTTTTGCTTTTTAAAAAAAGGGGAAAGGAGGGCACAATCAAAACTCTGCTGTGGGCAGAGATCAGGGGGCAGATGGGCTCCTTGTAGGAATGCATCATATTCCTCCCTTCTCCCACCAGGCCATTGTCACACCACTATGACTGCAGTTCATGCAAGGCAAAACCCCTTAAATATTATCCAGGAGCTTGCTCCTTCCCATGGCAGGACCACAATACATCTATCTGATAGCCCCTTGCACTTTAAGCCCCTTCAGGTGTTACAATCAGGTTAATGTGAGCACATGGTAGGAGCAGCAGGAACAGGTGTGTCAGCCCTACCCCACGACCCCATTATTTATATTATCACACTCCAACTCAAAGAAGGTAAACTTCTGCAACAAGGTGCCATTTGAAGACAGGGCCTGATTAATAATAATATTAAATTTTATTTATACTCTGCCCTCCCCGGCCAGAGCCGGGCTCAGGGCGGCTAACACCAGTAAAATTACAGTAAAAACATAATAGGGGAAAAAAACCAATTTAAAATACAGGTTAAAATGCAATTTAAAATGCAGACCTTTAGAGGCCCTAAGCACTTAAAAGATTTTGGTGCCCCCGTATATTCCTAATTCAAAATATAAACAACTATAAACCCTAAAATAAAATTGAATGTTACGAAATGAAACCAAAACCTACATGCTTCATTTTTGTATTTTATTTATATATTTTTTGGGGGAGGGGGGATCTACTTTTTCTAGTTGCAATGTCTTTGATCAGACCCTCAGAACTAATCTTACACAATGCGTTTGCTTCTACACTTAGTAGAGATAAGGCATCCAGCCTGCCTTGTTGTATAGTTGTTCTGGGACATGGGTGGTGCTGTGCTTTAAACCACTGAGCCTCTTGGGCTTGCCGATCAGAAGGTCGGCGGTTTGAATCCCCGCAATGGGGTGAGCGCCCATTGCTCTGTCCCAGCTCCTGCCAACCTAGCAATTTGAAAGCAGTTCAGACTGTTGGGATTTTTTAATATACTTCATCTGAGAAAATGAATGCTCAGCTGAGTAATTTGTGACCATGAATGTTAAAAATCAGGCAATGGAAAACTTTTGTGGTGCCCCCCTCTTCCCTTGATGCCCGAAGCACGTGCTTAATTTCCTTAATGGTTAATCCAGCCCTGTTTGGAGTCATGGATGCTCCAGATGTATTTCAGAACCATGGCTTTGCAGGCTTCCAAAAATGCATGGGAAGCCTCCAAAGATACAATAGGGTCCTCGTTGCAGAAGTTTGTGTTCCATGAGTTGGGAGGAGTTAAGAATGATAGCATGGGAAAGCAGTGGGGACAGTGTGCTTGTCCCTGCCACCCCACACATGATTATATCAGCCTAAAGGTAGCACCTGAAGCTGGCTTCATTCTTTGTGGGCAGAAGACACTGGGCAGTGTTCTCCTTCCCAACAGCATGTAGATATGCTTTAGGGGTTGTTTGTCGTGATGCTTCTCTTCTACCCTAATTTCATGTAAGTGAAAGAAAGAATTTTTATTTTTTTTACAAACAATATTGATTTTCCTTATAAAAATTAAGTCACCTCAATTCCACAGTTTCTGTCTTTAGAAAAAAGAAGCCACGACAACAGTTTGTTTTTTTAAAATATGTTACATAAAATGTAATTAAGAGAAAGCAGAGGGAGAGGAGGGGGAGAAAAAGAAACTCTACATATTGGGGATATTTTCATCCCCTCTATTTTTATTTTTTATTTTTTAGAAAAACAACAACCCAAAAACATTATCTTCCACTGACTGGGGGTTAACGTTAACACTTTGGTTCCTACAGACTAGGGTCAGCACAAGGACTTTAAACAGAATACTACAAATCTATTAAAAAATGTATATCTCTCAGTGTTGTTTTTTTTTTTAATCGCAAGAACACTTCTCTGGAGACTGAGACACTGACACTCAGCTCCAAACCTGATTTTTTTTAATTTTTATATTATACTACTATTAGCATTATTTTGCTTGAAAAGACACAGCGCTGAAGAAGACCCATTGGAGTTAAGGAATCAGAAAGTTGCACTATCCCAAATTAAAAGAATACATTGGGTTTGTTATCAATATCAAGCCTTAAGAGATATAAAATGGTAAGCTGAGAGAAAAAAACCACAGAGTTCACATATCCTGTTTGTTTACCCTCTAATGCTATAGATATATATATGTATAAAACATTAAGCATTAGAATTTCCCTCGAAGAGCAAAAAAGTGGTCTTTGATTGGACTTCTCTCTTCACTGGACAGCAAATTCAAATCAGCAGTTAAGTGCTGCAAAAAAATGTTTTCCTGCTACTTAATTCTGCCCCCCCCCCAAGCACAGGTGAGATTAAAGAGAGAGTGAGCAAGAGGGACATTTCCTCTCTATGGTTTTATGCCGCAAGTTATGTTTTGTCTGGCTATCCTTGTGTGATTGCACAAGCACATTCTATGTTATTGGGCTCTCTCTTTTTTATTATTATCATTTGTTTAAAATTATTTTAGAACAACCAGAAGGTCTAAATGGCTGATAAGACAGTGTGACCTATGCCAGTTTGTTGGCTTGCCTCGCTGGATGATAGGCAGCTAAGAAAGTGCTTATATCTAAGATTCCAGAGGTAAGATTCCATTTACGCGTCTCTCCAGTTGCTCCCTAAACCTGGCTACGTCGATTCGTTTTGGCTCATGGATTTCCCACCGTTTAGCACTCCTGAGACGCTTCTGCTTTTCGTGGGGGTCCCGCTGCCAGACCGTGAAAATTCTGTAAGATCATGGAGGGAAGGTTCTTTGTACATGGCCACTGAAGGAGAGGAAAAACAAGAAAAGTGTAAGAGACTTCGTAAGGGCCGGTGTCACATTATTCCTGTCTTCTTCTTTTATTCTACTTTCCCTTCCTCTCTTCCCATGCATTTCTCTGCTCTGGGATCTGCGCCAGAGGATTGGAGAGACCCCAGAGCATATTGGGGGTGCGGGGCTATGTTGTGGAAGCACATAGAGGGAAGAGAGGGAAGGGAACTTCCCATGCACAAGTAAAACTTGTTCCACTCATGAAGTGCTTCACTTAGGTCACACCTGCACTATGCATTTGAAGCTGCATCTTAGCATTTTAAACAGTCATGGCTTCTCTCAAAGGATCCTGGGCACTATAATCTGTTAAGAGTGCTGAGAGTTGGTAAGAGACTCATACTCCACACACCCCACCAAGAGCTACAACTCCCAGAGTGGTTTAACAATCAGCTCCTATCCCCAGGGAACTCTACCCATGTAGGCATGGGTAAATCTGTCAGTTGTGGTTTGTTTCCATCTCTCTCTCTCTCTCTCTCTCTCTCTCTCTCTCTCTCTCTCTCTCTCTGCATTTTAAGTTCAGTTCTCCGCATTTCCGGATCAGTTTCAGCTTATTATTATTTTTAAAGCCTCTGTGGAAATTCACCAGGATTTTATTGCAAATTTCTCTGAACATACAGCTTTTAAAAATGCACCCCCCCCCCAATTTAATGCATTTGCATTTATGTGCAAACTTTACCCCGGTATGTGTATTTTTTTGTACATGTTAATTACCTGGAGTATTTTGCAGTACAGTGCTACCTCGAGTTACAAACGCCTCAGGCTACAAACGCTTCAAGTTACAAACTCCGCTAACCTGGAAGAGTTACCTTAAGTTGAGAACTTTGCCCCAGGATGAGAACGAAAATCGTGTGCTGGCGGCACAGCGGCAGCAAGAGGCCCCATTAGTGAAAGCACGCCTCTAGTTAAGAACAGTTTCAGGTGAAGAATGGACCTCTGGAATGAATTAAGTTCGTAACTAGAGGTACCACTGTACTGCAAAATTTGGAGAACTGAAAATTTTGAAGGATGGCTGAGTTTCAGCTCATGTATTGTTTCGGAAGGCGCAGATTAGGAAGATTTGCCTTTAAACGCTAACTGACTTGAATTCCTCCCCCCTTCTCTATACTTAGAATAGCTTCATCTCAGCCCTGTAGAAACTCTTATGCATATGAACACAAGAAGCTGCCTTATAATGAATCAGACTATTGGTTCATCAATGCCTTACACTGTCTGACAGCAGCTATCCGGGGTTTCAGACAGAAAATCTTTCCCAGCCGTACCTGGAGATGCCAGGAATTGAACCTGGGACCTTCTAAATGCAAAGAGGGGGCCTTGCCACTGAACTACACTTCCTCCCTGCACATTTTCAACTAATGTCAGAAAAGCCTGCACTTTGGTCAAGCATGCAGGGGAGTCTGGCATTCCAATGCACCTGCAGAGCTCTGTGCATGCCTGGATATTTTTTTACCTTTTAATGGTTTGGGAAGGAAATGTGCCGCCGCTTTGTTTTTCTTGACATGGTTTCCTTTCATGATCTCCCCTTCTTTGTTCAGACCCAAGTACCAGCCTCTCCCTGACTGCTGCTGTCTGTAGATCATGGACGAGTATGTCACATAGTAGTTTTCAAAAACCGACTCTTTGAACTTGCATTCTGGTGTGAAATGTTCCTGCAAAGGAAGGGAAGGGAAAGGATCAATATGTGCCAAACATAACATCTGCTAATGCAAAGGGGAGGGAGGAAACATTTGATAATTTGCAGGCTTCCACAGGCCAAAAGGGTTTCTCCTCCTCCTGCCCATTTAGAGATCAGTGGCCTTCAAAAGAATTAGTGCAAGAAATAACACAATTTGGAGCACACGGACCAATTCTAGGAGCAGCCTGAAGGTAGCGTGATAATAAAATCTCAAGTGAAGAAGTATTGATCAGAAAGAGAATCTTGTTATCAGATCACGAGCACCAGCAAGAAGACAGGGGTGAACAGACATGCATCAAGGATGGGAAATGCCTAGACTGAAAAAAAGATTTAGAGGGAGAATGCAGGGAGCAAATGGTCTTTTACCAACTGAATGATGTTAAAACAACATCTACAGGTTACCTCATTACACTGCAATTATTTATTCATATCCTTTTATCAGCATGCTGCAGGCTGGATGCCCTTGGAAGCCTACAATAGCTATTGCAAGACCCACGATGTAAAACCAAAACAAAACAGGGAGAGCGACAGACAAAATGGTGGTCTTAAATTTACATGACTGTCTCTCAAGGATTCCTTGCGTGAGGCCTCTGTGAGCTGACAGGAGTTTTGGAGAAAAGTTGAGAGAGGAAGGGAATGAGGCTTAATAGTAAAGAATGATGGACAATTGTCAAATTGATTAGCAAAGGCAAGGTGCTGCTCTTACTTCTTTAAGAAATGGGCTCCAAGCTTTGCTTTCATTTGCAATGGAAGCATATAGGGGGCTTTGTAAGCAATCTAGTCGGCTGCAGGCGAATGTTAAATTTTAAAAGTTACAATTCTCAGATGATAATATTATTTGAAACCATATGCCAACTATATGGGGTTTGACAGCGGGTCAGCATAAATGGACTCTCTGCACTGTAACTTCTTCCAAAAGACCAAGTGATTCATCGGAAAGATAATACCATGCCCCCCCTTTGAGCAGTGGATAGAAGACATGACAACTGCAGTAAACAAATGGATAGCTTTTAGACATAGATTGTGTATGAATAAATACAATGATATTTGGAATCCATTCAGACATCATGTGAAACCACAGTTAGGGAAACTTAGCTTGATGCCTGGACTGATGAACTATGGTTTGCAATCAAGACCACAGTATCAGGAAACTTTCTGAATCAACAAAATCCAATTGTGCTTATTGCTCCACCATCAGAGGCTGCTAGAGATAGTATACTTATGAACCTGAGGAGGTAAAAACTTAAAGCAATTCAGGCAGCTCTTAGCCACCATTTGCCTTTTTAGTATTTAGCCATGGTTTGTATGTTATGTGTTTTGCACAAACCATGGTCTACCAGAGTCTCTGAAATTGAGACAGAATTTGGAAACCTTTTTATATTCTTAGAAACTGCTTGTCAAAGTTATTTCCTTACAAAGCTGTGCTGCTGTGCCGAAATTAAATATCAGAACGAAGATTTTCGACAGCAGATAGCTACTGTATTGAGATGGAATACTACCTGGATAATGAGGGTGAGACTATCACCATATGCCAGGAATGGGGACCTGTGACCCTCCAGATGTCCAGCTCTCCTCAGCACCAGCCAGCACAGCCAATGTCAGGACAATAGGAGTTGTAATCCAACAAGATCTGAAGGGCTACAGGTTCCCTGTCCAAAAACAATTTAAGCAAATCCTGGGTCGATATTCAATGCTAGTTCTACACAGAATCGGGCCATTGAAATCAATGCATATGACTGAGGGCTTATTCCATTTACCTTTTGCCCCATGCTTTCAAGGCTTTCTCGGTTCGCAAATTGAGGGCTTTCATTTACTTATTTTTGTCCCGACACTTTCCCCACGGAAACCTGTAGCTTACCACTGAATCGGAGCAAACAGCAATTGGGGTATTCTACAGATTGCTGTTTGCTCTGATTTGGTGGTAAACAGCAGGTTTCCATGGGGAAAACAGTGGGGGGAAACAAAACCACTTGGACCTGGAATGGAAAGCCCAGATCTGTGCCTAGAAATGCAAAGCAAAGATAAGTGTGGATGAGCACTGAAATCTTGTTAGTGTGGGATTGGAATGGCTAGAGAAATCAGTGCTTGGTGATTTGGCCTGCACATTAGAAACAACAACTAAAGAACAGTCACTCGTATATATATTTTTTTAAAAAAAATTACAGCAATTAAGTCCCTATGGATCCATTACTTATGGCATCAGCATACTGTGAAGGACTCAAGAACAAAATATGAGTTTGAATTGATTTTCAATTTGCTAATTGCAATGAGAATATTTGCAGCAAAAATTGGGAATGAAACTATTTACCTTCAGTCCAGCACTGGAGTGACAGAGCTTGGTAATCTGGAGTCTTCTAAGATTAACATACTAAATGCAAAATGGGGACATACTTACTGCAATCAGTAAGCGTTTGTTTTCACAATTCCCATATTAGCTTTCTTGAGCCTTATGATCCATGCCATCAGCCTCATCTGCTGCCCCACAGGTTAGAAATAGATTTAATGAGCTTAAGTGACAGGCTGGTAGATTTTGATGGAACATTAGGAGACACTTATAAACAGTAAGAGCAGTTCATCAGTGGAACCAATTATCATTGAGGGGGTGGGCAGGCTCTCCTTCACTGAAAGTCTTCAAGAGGCTACGACAGCTATCTGCTGGGGATGATCCAGTTTTAGATTTTATTCATTAAGCAAGTAGTTAGACTAGATTACTTTCAGGGACCCTTCTAATTATTCTGTAATCCACGGCTTGCCACTGTCAGGTTACGTATCGGGCAGGCAGGTATGAGAGAGGTGGTCTGTAGTGGCATCTGAATTCTGTATTCTTAGAACCCAACCATAACCAGCCTGGTTCCACCATAGTTTATACTTTTTTACTGGTGACACCAGTGCAGTGGAATCCTCTCTCTGCTTAAATATGCCATCAGTATTGGCTTTCCGCTAGCTTTGTCAATACAGTTGTTTAGAACAACATTCCCTTGATCTTCTTTTCTAACTGAAAATGTGTTTTAGTGGGCTTCTTTCTTACATATTTTAGCTATGGGTGCTTTAATGTAGTTGTTTTAGTGTGTATTTTAATTATGGGTAGCTGTAATTTTTTAATAATTGTTTTTATTCTTGTTTCTTTGCTGTTGGCTTTGATTTGCTTGGCATTTTGTCTTGAAATGAAAGGCAGTTTATAAATTCTAACAGCAACAACAGTACTTTCCCCAAGTAACTGTCTCAAACAGGCATTTGCTTTCAACTGACTGATTTAAACATATTTTGGTCTCCTGTTGCTTGTCTCATATTACTACTTTTATACAACAAGGCAATCCTATGCATGTTTTCTCAGAAGTTAGACCTGTTGTGTTCAGTGGGGCTTACTTCATAGTCAGCATGCATTGGATCACACTATCCAACTTATATTTTATAAATGTGATTATTTTATAACCTATGGTTTCTACTGTTCTGTGTTTGCTGTTTATGAACAGTTATGGGTCTGTGCTATGGGTTGCTGTATGGCTTTTATTTCATTACATCTTATTTATTAAATTTCTATCCTGCTCTTCTTCTTCTTCTAATTTTTAAAACCATTTATTTCTATTTTCAGATAAAAACACGTAACATAAAAACAAATAGCCCCTCCCCCTCCCCCACAGAAGTACACAAACTAGAAAAAATCAAGAGAAGAATTATTTCCCTCATTGAACAAAAGTGCCATTCTAAAAGTCCCAATGTGTTGCTGGCAGCCTGTAATCATGCTCTTTTGACATTGCATAAGTAATAGAGTTATAGCAAGTTGAGTAAAAAGTGTTGGATTTAGTCAAACTGGAGTAGTTAATTTGTCCATCAATATCAAGCCCCAAAGCTGTGAATGCCAAGCCTCAAATTAGTCTGTATTTAATGTCCTCTCAAACCTGGAGATGCTAAGCTTTGCTGCTGTCATTAGGGTGGGCTATAAGGTCTTTATGGGGGAAATATTGGGTATCCTCTGCATAATATGCTAACAAAGCCATATTAGCTTTTTTCTGCTATGCCTGTGTTGTAAGTTGCTTAGAGACTCCTGATGTAGCAAGTAAAATTATTAAATAAATCAAACCATTATTAACTATTATCATTATTTATAAACCACTTTGAGTATTTTGCTTAGAATTGTATGCTAACCATTAATGGAAATAAATAAATTGGAGGCATACATTGGAGGCACAGACTATGGCAAAACAAAAGAAATAACATGACATTTTGTAAAATTTGATAAATACCGTAGATCTTTACGTTTGAGGGATATATTGCAAGTGCATATTTCTGTGAGACTTATATGGATAGAACCATAAAATTGTAGACCCCAAGGATCATCCAGCCCAACCCTCTGCTATGCAGGAATCCTGCCCACAGCCATCCCTGGGTGGTCTCGAACCAACAATTTTCTGGTTAACAGCCAGACCCACTGACCCATCGCGTGACAGGATGTTTGAATGTGTCACACACACACATATATATGTAATAAAGCATATAAATATACTTGTTCCTCTCCTCAGACACATGTATTTGTCGTGTACATTCAGTTCATTAAAAAGGATAAAGTGCTCACAGCATTCCAGACGGTTCAGAGTAAAGCACTTCTTTTGCTTGACGCTTGCTGAAGCAAGCTGGGAGGAACGAAGAGTAACACTGTGGAGTACGTCATCCAATTAAGAGCAGTAGAAGCAGAGCCAAGAGCGTGCCGCGGGTGATTATAGCTTGTGTACAGTAATTTGCTGCTGTGCAGAGAGTGCAACACTTGCTCCATTCAGAGATGAATGATCAAATTAGGAGCCAAGCCACACCATCTTCATCTTGCAATTTCTTCTTATGGCCCCCTTGCTCGGTCGTGCTGGAAATGCAGCTTCAACTTGCACCCAGTGGGATGCTTTCGTGGGCTTGCATAAGTTAGGAGACATGGGTAGCTGGTGACTGACTGATCGGGGCATTTGAACGCTAGTCTCCCAGCTTCTAGCCCAATGCTCTCTAACCACACTGGCTTACATAAGCTGATAACTATGTGTTTTGGGACACACTAATAGCTACGTGCTTTATCCTTGGCTACTGGTCATCAGGGCTGCACAGAACTCAGGCGGCATCAGATGTTTGTGGTGCAGGAAACCAAATGTCAAGACAAGCCAGTCTTCTAGGAACCTCAGCTGATGACCCCCACTGACTCATCCATCCAAGGTATTTCTAGGAACACTTATCTACTCTTTGCATCCAGGAGTCTGCCTCATATTGGGTCAGGCAATGTGCCCTTCTAGCCCAGTATTGTCTACTCTGACCGGCAGCAGCTCCCCAAGATCTTAAGCAGAGAAATGCCATTCCTGATAATTCTTTGAAGAAGTGCCAGGGATTCAACTGGGGACCTTTGGTGAGCAAAGTATTCTCCCCTGCCCTGAAAGTTTATTTTTGGAAATGCCCATATAGTGCACACTGTGCAGAATCTGAAGGCAGCCAAATGTCCTGTTGAACGCTCAGGGGTTTTCTTCGTGAAAATTATCTCCATCGAGTGACTACTCTCAGTCACTCAGCAACCCACTCCTTTGCTACTTGCACATTATCAAGAAGCAGGATCCCATTACCACAGCATGACCACTGAGCTAAAAGTGTCTTTATAAAAAGAACAACATGAAGTTGGCATTTCCATCCAGCTCTTGATACATCAGGATTAAATTATAAGATACAGCCAGCCGCCTCCGTGGCAGACTGATAGAGATGCAATTTGCAGGGGTTTTGTTTTTGCTTTAAAAGTTAACCTCGACAGCCTCCACCATCAGTCAGTTAACGATCAGTCAACAACAATGGGATAAGGGCGGTGGTTAAGTGGTAGAGCACCTGCTTTGCGTGCAGAAGATCCCTGGTCCAACCATCAGCATTTCCAGGTAGGGCTAGGAAGAAAACCTGCCTGGAGGAGCTGCTGCAAGTCACTTCAGACAATCCTGAGCAAGATGGACCAAAGTTCTGATCCCGTGTAAGGCCACATTCACACCATACATTTAAAGCACCGTAACAAACATTGAACTCGCCAATAACCACTGTGGAGGTGCAACAAGCCATTCAAAGATCTAAGAGAGGGAAGACACCGGGCCCGGATGGCCTCCCGGCTATCTATTACAAAAAATTAGAAGAATCATTATTTCTGCCCATGAAAGATATAATGAATTATATTCTTATATATTTGTTTTTGTATGATGTAGGTGTAATGGGTGTCTTTCCTTTTTCTTTGTGTATTATAAAAAACCAATTTTTTTAAAAAACAAACAAATAAATAAAAGCACCATAATTGAAATTCAAAGAGTCAAGGTATCCCCTAAAGAAGTTAGTTAAGTGTTCTGTGAGTTGTCAGGAGGCTTCCTATTCCCCTCTCACAGCTACAGTTTCCAGAGTTCTCTGGGAAGGAGGATTGATGACTAGTTGCCAAACTAATAGATAAGGGGTGTATAGACAAGGGTTAACGAACACAGTGCCCTCCAGTCCAATACAATAAGGCCTATTGTCAGGGATGGTGCGTGAAACAACCTTTGGGTGGGGGGCTTCACTTTAGCTATCCCTGAAATAAGCAATGTACTAAAAATTGTCTCAAACCTTTGTTGAGTTAGGGACTTCCCCTGCATGAGAAAGCAGGCTGCAGCAGATTGAATAGACAAGACCAATAGTGGGTCCAACGATCAAGAAGGCAGTTATTGAACATGCTTTAGAGAGAAGTGAAGGGATATGGGGCTCGTCCACCTGGGAAAGTAGCCCATCTAGGAGAACTCTGATCCTAAACCTTCACTGCCTTGTGGAATATATTCGGGAGAAGAAAAGGCTATGCAGTAAACCCCACACAAATCCAGAGCAGAATCCCTAAGGCGTTTGAGTGCCACCCTGCATTCCTCCTTCCGGCAACTCATGCAGCCAAGCTGGTGGCAAAGGGATTGCTCTACTTTCTCTTGTACCACATCAACGAGGCTGAGAGGGAGGTCATTGTCTGGGCAGCCCAGGACCTCCATGCACACTGCCTAGGCTTGCATCCCAGAGAGATCACTTTGGTGCTACTAACGCAGCAAAAACAACATGGGAGGCAGCAGTTATGAGTTACCAGCCTCTGCAGCCATGAAAGGCACTGTGGTTCTCCAGTGGTTTGACTTTACCCCTGAAGGCACACTCTATTGTCTCTTGAGACAGACAGATGCAAACCACAACAATACACTGAAAACCCACCATTAGAATGGGTGAGCCATGTTTGGAGAGCAGGCTCATATATTCCAAGAAGTTAAGAGGGTGTTTTTGCCAGGAGTCCAATATTGTCTGTTTGAGGTCTGCAGAGAGACACACTCATTGCAGCCAAACTCCACAGCCTGACTGTTAGGGCAGGCCAACCAGCACTGGAAGAAATGGCCACCCACTTGGATGGTTTTAAAAGAGGATTGGATGGATTCATGGAGGACAAGGCAATAAATGACCATTAAGTAAGATAGCTATGCTCTGCTTCCACAGTCGGAGGCTGTAGGAGGGGAGACTGCCCATCTGCTGGGGTTCTGCTTGAAAGTTTCCCACGGGCATCTGTCTGGCCACTGTGAGAACAGAATGCTGGACTCGATGGGCCATTGGCCTGATGCTGCAGGCTGTCTTATATCAGAACAGGTCACATTCACCCAGTACATATAAAGCACTCTTATAGCACTTTAGAAGTTGTGGCTTCCTCTCAAGAATCCTGGGAACTGTGGTTTGTTAGGGGTACTGAGAGTTGTAAAGGATGGCGTTGATACGACCTCAGATCATCCACCCAACCAGTTGAATATTAGTAGTAGTAGTAGTAGCAGCAGCAGTAGTAAAATGAATAAGTAATAATTCACAACCCCTACAGCAGAAACCAAACTTCTTGCCCAGCAAGTTCCATTTGCCACCCATAATTCTTTGCCCTGCCTGGTGCTCCAAACTGGCAATTAGCCAGACCTTTTGTTCAAACAAAGCAAGTATCTTATTATTTTAAGCTTCTTCACCGTGCTGCTCTGCATAATAACTCCTCAGATGGATCTGGAATCTGTTCTATGTGAAAGCCCTTTCCAGCATTTTTTACTCCAGAAAGAGAAGAGAGAGAAGAGAAGAGAAGAGAAGAGAAGAGAAGAGAAGAGAAGAGAAGAGAAGAGAGAGACCTAACCAGCTCTTTTGCAATGGTTGAAACCGCCAACTCCTCTGAAAGCTCAAAGCTGTTCAGTAAATGGAAGGGCTTTCCCCAAAGATCTAACAGCCTTGGTCGATGATGAAAGAACTCCAGCACTGTTCAAACTCGGGGGCTGCCTTTTCACATCAGGCAGACAGGTTGATCGCTAAAACACATATTACTGCACACATATAGCACCTGTGCTTAAAAGAAAAGAAAAGATGGCACCAACTGCCTCTTGGCAAAGGTTTTATTATTATATTTTAAGGCCTGATTAACTTGGGGCCATGTAGTTGGGGATACCCCCCCCCAAAAAAAAACCCCCAGAAAGTTTTCAAAAGCTTTGTTTTTCCATGTCCATTTTTCCATTTCATAATGGAACTTTTCATAATGCATCCCCCCCCCCATTTCATAATGCTTGACAAAACCCTGATGGCCACCAACCTGGATGGCTTTAAAAGAGCGTTAGACCAATTCAGGGAGGATGAATGCTATCAATGGTTACGAGCCGCGATGGGCTATGTTCCGCTATCAGATCCACTGTGTCTCTGAATACCAATGGCTGGGTATCACAAGTGGGGAGAGAGCTCAGGTCCTGCTTTTGGGTTTTCCACTGGCATCTGATTACACTTACACACAAACACACAAACACACAAACACACACACACAGAAACAATTTCACCACCACCTGTTTCCACCCATTTCCTAGAAACATGTAAAGGGGAGAATATCAAACCTGGTCTTGGTTTGTGTCATCTCCCTTAAATGCATAACTTTATATATATATATATATATATATATATATGCACAACACCAGTGATCCTAGGATCCTAGTTTGTTGCTTAAATTAGCTGTGTGTTTTTTTTAAAAAAAATATGATTATTACATTCATTTTGCTTGCTCTTATTTTTTCTGGCTTATTGCTATCATTTCAAATATCAACCGGCCCCAGGATCATCTGATGAAGAGCTGGTTAAAAACTGACAATAACTAAATAAATGTAAGCAAATAAATGAACCAACAACAATGGCTATGTTCTGCCTCCAGTGACAGAGGATGCCTGCCTCCTTGCATATCTGAAGCGTGGAGAGTGCTGTTGCACTCAGGTCCTGCTTGCCATTGTGAGTACAGGATACTAGACAAGGATGGGCCTTTGGCCTGATCCAGTGGGCCTTGCCTTATATTTTTGTTTCATTGGACATCATGGTTGTGGATAGTGATGTTGCACTTGGATCCTGTTTGTGGGCTTCACAGATGAATCCTGTTGGGCTGCCATGAGACAGGATAGTGGACTGGGGGAAGGGGCGGCCTTTGGTCCCAATCCAGCTAAACTCTTCTTACTCTCTTAAATGAATAAATAAAACAGAAGGCTCTATCATGACAACAATTTATGTAGGAGCTGCCAGAAGATTTCCCACCCCCACGTGCTGCCTTGTAATATCAGAAAAGATCAAGCGGAGTCCAATATTAGAAAAGATAAAGGTTTGTCATGGCAAGAGCCTCCATTGACACCCAAGAAAGAATATTTATGAGGAGAAGAGGAAAGAGATGAAAGATAGTGGCATTGATGTGGCATGCTTTTGAAAAATGGGCCAACAGGTAATTAAGCCTTCAAAAGGAGAGAAAGCAACAGTGGCTTGCAAGCTTGCAAGAGATACCAATCTAAATAACGGCACGACTTGTTTACCCTCCTTCTGGGACTGCTCAAATCTCCTTAAAGATTAATCCAGAGGAAGAAGAAAACTCGCAAACAAAACATTTCCACTTTTTCCTGGAGAAAACTGCTTGCACATTGTGGTCACATGGGGAGCCCGTTGACTGGCTTGTTTGGGCCCCTGGTAAGCTCCTACTTTGTAGATTCAAATGCAGCCCAATGTGCCTAGCCTAGGGACGGGGATTGTCAGGACTGGGAGCCAAATGTGGCCCTCTGGAGATTCTATATGGCCTTTGGTACTCTTGCAGGCAATGCCTTCTCCCCAGGCTGTGTCCACTGCCAGCCTTGCTCCACACCCTTCTTGAGTGCTTTTCCCTGGCTGGAATGTGTTGAGCTATGAGAATGCCTCTTGCTTGCTTGCCTGGATGAAGAACGGAGAGATGTCTTGGTGTGCATGGAAACCTCCAAATTTTGTGTGGCTGGAATGCAACCGGCCATAAAAAAGCAAGAGCCACACCCATTGCTCCACCCATTTTTACCTCTGGCCCTGCCCACCATTGGTATGTGGCCCCCCAGAAGGTTTCCCAGGAGGGAATGTGACTCTCAGACTGAAAAAAGGTTTCCCCACCCTGGCCTCATCTCTCAGTCTCATTAGTGAGACACCAGATCAAGAGTATTACAGTGGTGCCTCGCAAGACGAAATTAATCCGTTCCGCGAGTGTCTTCGTCTAGCGGTTTTTTCGTCTTGCGAAGCAACCCTATTAGCGGCTTGGCGGATTAGCGCTATTAGCGGTTTAGCGGCTATTAAAGGTTTATCGGCTTATCGGCTTAGCTGCTAAAAGGCTATTAGCGGCTTAGCGGCTTAGAAAAAGGGGGGGGAAGCGAAAAAAAAATCTCAAGACTCGCAAGACATTTTCGTCTTGCGAAGCAAGCCCATAGGGAAATTCGTCCTGCGAATCAACTCAAAAACGGAAAACCCTTTCGTCTAGCGGGTTTTCCGTCTTGCGAGGCATTCGTCTTGCGGGGCACCACTGCAATGGAAAATGTCATAACATTTACTAATGCTCTGACATACCAATATCAATACCACAAGGTAAATGGTGAGAATGACCATCTCTTACACCAGTAAAATTGGAAAATGTCCCATCTTACAGAAACAGATATGTATGTCTTGATTAAATAAAGGCAATGGTTAGCCAAAAATGAAGAAATGAAATTAGCAACTAAAGAGGAGCAGGAGATCTAAAATGGCCAACAACCCCAAGCAGTTAGTAGACTGAAACTTTAGAAGAAATGCCAGTCAAGAGAACCAGGCCCACAGTTTCAAATAAAAGTTGAAGATATCTAGGAGCCCAGTTTTGCATCCAGAAATGGAAGTGCATTCATGTCAGGAGCATATAAATAGGCTGATCCACCCCTACCAATAATTAGAATGGGCATCTTGTGAAGCACCCACCCTCTGATGACTACTCTGTGCATATTTTTCCAAAAAAGTGAACTCCTACTTTTAAGGTATAGATTCAGGAGTAGCCAGTGTGGTGACTTCCAGAGGTCATCGGACAACAACAACTCTCATTGCCCCCAATGGCCAGGGATGGGGTAATCTAACAATATCTAGTGGTCACATTAGTTTAGAATAAAAGAGGAGGAGAGACAGGAAGAGCATGTACAGTGGTACCTCGGGTTAAGTACTTAATTCGTTCCAGAGGTCCGTTCTTAACCTGAAACTGTTCTTAACCTGAAGCACCACTTTAGCTAATGGGGCCTGCTGCTGCCGCCACACCGCCAGAGCACAATTTCTGTTCTTATCCTGAAGCAAAGTTCTTAACCCGAGGTACTATTTCTGGGTTAGAAGAGTCTGTAACCTGAAGCGTCTGTAACCTGAACCGTATGTAACCCGAGGTACCATTGTATTTAAGTAGGCATGGTGTGAAGATAGCAGAGTGGGGGGGAGGGGGTTTCCTCTCCCTCTCACAGTGCTAGAACACAGGGAAATCCAATGTTAGAAGATTCAGAACAGATCAAAGGAAAAACGTATCCACAAAGCAGATAATTAAGCCTTTGGAATTTGCTCCAACAAGATGCAGCAATGGCCACCATCTTGGATGGCTTCAAGAGAGGGTCAAAGAAGTTCATGGAGGATAATGCAATGTTCTTCCTCCACTCTCAGATCCTCTAAATACCAGTTGCACACTAGTACAACTGGGGAGAGTGCTGTTGCACTCACATTCTGCTAGAGGGCTTCTGATTAAGCCATCTGGTTGGCCACTGTGATAACAGAATGCTGGACTAGAATGGCCTTTGGGCTAATCCAGCAGGGCTCTTCTCACATTCTTAGAGAGCATTTTCTTTCGGCTTCTTAACACACCAAGGCAAGTCAGCACAGAAATATTAGTTTTGAAGCTCTGACAGCAGGCTCAGAGCTGATATCTATTTGTGGCAAATCCGTTAACCAGCTTCCCAGCAAGAGCTGTGTTCACAGACCATAGTCTTCCTCTGCCTAAATCACCATCATGCTCATTTGCACATTTAATTTCTACCCAAAAAATAAAAATCAATAATTTCAGAGGACTATGATTGTCAGAAATGTCACGGTTTCAAAAGCAAAAAATTAAAGCCAACAGAAAGCTGGAATTTGTTATTTAAATCGGAAGCCGCAGAAAAACTTAATTTCAAAGCAAACAAGATTAAATGAGAAGCAGAATGTGCGCACATGCCAACAAGGAGGGGAGGGGGAGATATATATTAACAGGACAGAATTTGCAAATACAAAAATATGTTTTCCTCACTTAATTGAGCAAATTGGCATTATTAAATTAATGCTTTCTCGAGCTGAACGCTGTGGATATTTTTCCACCACCACTACTCCCTGCCAATGTGTATTTACAAAATTAAGAGAGAGGATAAACTTTCCAGATCTGCTTCCATGCTGCAGAAAAGTCAACATCTGTCAACAGTAATGGCTTTGGAAGGACAACTCACAGCCAACTCCTGCAAATGCGTAACCTCGAGTTAAGTCCTTCTGTGTTTAATGGTGTTTCAACATAGCTAAGTGTGGATAATATTGCAGACTTGGGTAGAGGAACTTGCCTTATTCTGAGTTGGAACTTTGGTTCATCTTTCAGTTGTTGCAGATGAAGGGTGAGGACAATGCCAGATTGACTAATCCTCTCTCTGGCTAATCCCTTGACCTTCTTGGTTTATCTTATCTAATAGGGTGGGGATGCTTGACAGGATTCAGGAGGCTGCAATTCCTCTGGGGGTGTGGTTGTGGCACAGACCTCTTTTAAAGAAGTATTAAGTAGCCAAGTCCTGAAGAAACTTAAGCCAGAAGATCTGAAACATCCCCTTCCTGAAGACACTCTTGGATTTCAATTTATCCATATGCATAGTTTGGGGGTGCTCTTGGATCCATCTCTTTCAGGCCCAAGTCACCTTGGTGCAGGGGTGACCCATCCCATTTTGCCGCCTGAGGCCAAATGGGAAGGTGTCGCCTCCCCTACTGAAGCCTTGCTTATCAGGGTTGCTCAGTGGCTGTGTCTTCCAGAAAAATCTCATGAGATCTTGCTAGAAGCTGCCCCAGGGTGCCAACAGGGGAACTGCCATGGATTCTGCAGTCCGAGGTGGCTGTTTCAGTCCACCTCATGGGTGGGGCAGCCTTGCCTTGGTGGGAAAAGGTGGCTACTACCAGCTTTGGTTAGTATGGCAACCATGACCATTCCTGAACAGGGTTAGACTGCTGTGATCCATGCTCTGGTAACCTCCATATTGTATTGCTTCAACATGTTTATGTTACAAGTTGATTTGGAAGCTGTAGCTGCCCAGATGACAAGACCCTCCTCTCGGCCTCACTGATGTGGTCCAAAGAAAAGCAGAGCAAGACGTTTGGCATCAGCTTGGCTGCAGGAGTGGCTGGAAGGAGGCATACAAGACACCATCCAACTGCCTTAGAGACTCATCTCCCGATTTGTGTAGGGTTTACTCCTTAGCCTTTTCTTCTCCTGAAGATATCCCACAAGCCAGCAGAGGTTTAGGATCAGAATTTTCCTTCTCCCTGATGAGCTAACTTCCCAGGTTTACAAGCCCCATCTGCCCCTCACATGCAGCACATGCAGAAACCACCTTCTTGGCTGTTGGACCCACTACTGGTGTTGCCCATTCAATCTGCCAAAGCCTGTCTTCACATGCAGAGGGAAATCCAAAGGGTCTACTATTGGTATGCAAAGGTTCATATGGCTGTAATGTGGGCCATGGCTCAGTGGCACAGCATCTGTTTTGTATGCAGAAGATTCCACATTTAATCCCCAGCATCTCCAGGTAGAGCTAAGAAAGACTTCAGCCGCAAACCTTGGAGAGCTTGTGCCAGTCAGCATAGACAATACTGAGCTAGACAGACCAGTGGTCTGACTCAGTACAAGGCAACTTTCTGTGTCTTGTGACACCACTGTCATAAGAAAAAAATTACATGAGAAATTGAAAAAAATAAATACCTGACCACTGGGGAAAAAGAAAATCCCACAGAAATTGAAGCAGCTGATCAACAGAGCCAGTTCTACTGAACATTTTGCCATATGAGCTGTTTCCAGGGTTTGCAGATGCTCATCACCACCATTTCAGACCCTCCCAATAGGTGCTGTTGATGCCTATTGATTATATTGGACAAAGACATCCTAATGTGGAGAGATCTTCTCATTATCAGTTTAATTTGGAGACAATTAACTTTGCTTTTCTGATTGATATCTGGCTGTTCTTGTTATTTGCATTTAAGTTTTCTTTTAATGTCAGCTATTAATTGTACAATTAAAAGTAATAAATAGTACTCAAAGGGCCAAAACTAATATAGCAATTTCTTCCAGGTCTCAAATGAAGCAATTGAAATGAATGTTGCAGTCTGGCTTGTTTATTCAGAGTACAGCATTAGGTTTTTTGTGTGTTTTTTTGACACATAATTCAGAGTTTCCTTTATGGAGGATTTGGATGTGTTGGGCAGTGGGGAGTGGGGGGTGAAGATTCTTGCACATACCCCCAAGCACCTATGATATATCTCTCTCTCACTGCTCCATTATGCATTGCAGAGATAATTCTTATCCATGAAGGATTTCAAAGCCATGTGCAACTCAGATGAATTTGCAAATGCATGTGTAATGAAAACAATGGACCTAGTGGGGTTGTCCGCATGCATGTGGTGGTTCAAACTCCTGGTTGCCTAACTTTCTTGGATAAGGGTCCCCAAACTGTGATCCTTGGTCCACCAATGCCCTACAAACTTCATTTAGGTGGTCCATGGCATCTGTGGATTTGTGGTTGAAGAAGAGAGATGGTGATCATGTTAAATATCAACACTGGTTTCTAACTGCATATTTATTGCTTCTTATATTGTATTTTATTATATTACAATTTCAACTCTATGGAATTCAAACTGTAATGCAATAATACAATATACAGGCATACCACAGAGATACTGCTGGTTCAGTTCCAGACCACTGCAATAAAGCAAATATTCCAATAAAGTGAGCCACACTTTTTTGTTTGTTTCTTTGTTTTCCAGTGAAAAGTTATGTTTATACTATACTGCAGTCCATTAAGCCATGGCCCTTGGCTGCAGGGGCAGGAGGCAAAAAACCTGGCTCCAGCCATAGCCAGCTCCACTCCCTTGGCCAGAAGAGGGGCAGTGGTGGAGGGGGTGGGCTTCCTTCCCCTGGAAGCGGCCAGGCTGCCTGCAGCTGCACCCATGTCCCCATTAGGAGAAATATCTGCAAAGTGCAAGAAAGCAAAACATAATAATGTGAGGTGTGCCTGAACACATATTTTTGCATGCAATTTGGCTAATGCACAAAGCAAGTCCCCAAATACATTGCATTTTGTGTGTGCTACTTTCATTAATATATGCATTTGCATGTACAACTTGAACATAGTTTGTGCATTTTTGTACACACAACTTAACTGGAGAACTGCATTGCAAAATTCAGAGAAGTGCAACTCTTAAAGGATGACCATGTTTTGGGTTGCATATTGTAAATGAGAGGGATTCACTTTTAATGTGAACTGAATCTTTCTCTCATTCCTATAAGGTACTTGGTCGGGAAGCAAAACACACACAGATCTGGGATAACCTTTGCTCCCACAGTCCACGAAAGGCCTAGATCCAGGGTGGAGAACCTCTGGTCCAGAACCAAATGTGGCTCCCCATAGCTCCCTATCTGGCTGTCAGGTCTGTTCTCAGTTCCCATCTCTCACTGCCCCTCCTCTGTGCCTTGCTTTGGCTTGGCTGGAAGTGCCCTTGGCTGGTGACCATGCCTCTTGCTTGCCTAGATGGAGAAATGGGTGTGCAGAATCCTCTGGCTTTCACCTGCCTGGAACATAGCCTAGGGAGTGACCGTTGTACTGGACGCTCTGCCCATTATTTTTACCTTCAGCCCCTTACCCAATTTTACTTCCAGCTCCATCTACTACAGACATGCAGGCCCCGCCCCGAAAAAAAGGCTGTTCAGGCTTTAAAATGGTGCCTGACCCTGGCCTAGCTTTCCCCCACAGTTCCCCCACAGGGAACCACAGGAATTTGTTCTTATTTAATCTTACAGAAGAGAGAACGGATAAATTCTAAGGATGCCCATTTGATCCAGTGTTAGAGAGATTTCTGATGGGGCAGAACATGACTGGGCATGTGGCAACCCTCACCTCTGCTGATGTGCCACTTCTTGCATTATTCAATTCAAATCAGATCCATTTTTTGAGGCCATTTGGAGCTGCTTTAGCAAGGCAGGGGCAGAACGAGGTTTGCTCTCTCTCGTACGTTAGATCTTCCTTTCCTTTGTGCTAGCACCGAGTTTTTGGGGGGAGGGATTTTTTCTTATCTTTTTTGAACCATCTCAAAAGCTGCAAGCATCAGCCTTGCAATGACAAAAGGAGTGTGTGGGCGTGCAGTTGATCAATTCTAGACTGTAACTGGCTTTTCATTTACTACTCTGAATGTGATTTGGGGGTGGGTAGGTTTGTTGTTTTAAAATGAAATGAAATGAAATGCACAGAAGTTGCATGAAATTCTCAAAAACAGAAAATGCCAAAGGAAGAGGAAAGACAAGAGGGGAAGGAAACGCCACTGAATGTATTAAAAGCCACCAAGAGCCAGTGCGGTTCACTGGGTGGCACTGGGACAGTGGCTGTCTCCTGGCCTAACCTACTTCAAAGGGTCATTGTGAGGATAAAATGGGGGAGTGGCGGGAGGAACCCCATATGCCATCTTAAGCTTCTTGAAGGAAAGATGGGATACAAATGTAATCAAGAAGGAAGGAACATGGTGGGAGGGGAGATTTGATTAGGTTGAATTTCACACATTGAGCGGAAGTGGCCAGTTGGTTCTTTAGCTGCATATTTCTGGTCAGCTTTGTAATGGGAATGTTAGCCTTACATGGGCTCAGGTGCTCCTTTGCATAAAACAATGTTCCTCTCCACTTTGCTTTGTCTGTTTTGTGCAAACAACAAGTGGCCCTGCAGGCAGGTTCCCTGCATTGCAGGGGATTGGGCTAGATGACCCTCGTGGTCCCTTCCATCTCTACAATTCTATGATTCTATGGTAACCAGCACAAGAGAAGCTCAGAAAGAGCCAATGAACCATAGCTCAGTGGTTGGACACCTCCTTTCGATGCCCCAGGCTTAATCTCCAATGGCACCTTCAGGTAGGTGAGGGAAAGATCCCACAGAGCTACTGCCAGTCACTGCAGACAGTTTTGAGTTGGATAAACCAGTACAAGACAGGAAATGTTCACTGTCCAAACCATTGCCAAAGTCACGGGTTTGCATCTGGAAGAAAGCAACAGAAATGGAACTTGTGCAGACATTGTTTGCAGTGTCGACTCTGCAATGACCTATTGCAGAATGAATCCAGAGGATTTTTTTAAGAAAAGAAAAGAAAAACCAGGGTAAAACCCTCCCTACTTAGAGGGAGATAATTGGCTTCATATAGAAACATCCCTTCGACAAGCGAATTCCTGGCTGGAACAATTGAAACATCGCTCTTCTGCCTGTACTGCACAAGCACAGGGTAAAAAGGCAGCTGGGATTTTTCTCCCCTTGAGTCTCTTGAAATGCATGCAACTCTCCCTCCAAGGAAAGAAAAGAGATTCCTGCCAATTCTCTAATATTACACTCAGGAAGGGCCCCTCCTGAGGTCCTCTTTATTGTGCATTCATAAAGATTTGTGCTCATGATACTATAAAGGTAAAGGTAAAGGGACCCCTGACCATTAGGTCCAGTCGTGGATGACTCTGGGGTTGCGGCGCTCGTCTCGCTTTATTGGCCGAGGGAGCAGGTGTGCAGCTTCTGGGTTATGTGGTCAGCAGGACTAAGCCGCTTCTGGAGAAACCAGAGCAGCACACAGAAAGGCCGTTTACCTTCCCGCCAGAGTGGTACCTATTGATCTACTTGCACTTTAGGGCTGGTCAAACACAGCCCCTCTTTCCATACTGTCTGTGCCTGCTAAGGTTTCAGTGTGGACAAACTGCTTCATTTCCAATCATTGCATATCCTGTAACTTCCTGCTAAAACCCCATAAATTTTCAAACGACAAACATTCTGGGGGTTGTTTGACTGATTTTGTTGTGATATGCCCCCTCCAGACACCAGAACTAATGGAAGTGGAACAATCTGCAGACAATATAAATCTACAACTAATGCACTATTGGTAGCACCTTTCGCACCTTTAAAGCAGTATCATGCCACTTTAACCAGTTGCAGCTTCCCCCCAAATATTCCTGGGAGCTGTAGTTTGTTAAGGGTGCTGCAAGTTGTTAGAAGACTCTTATTACCCTCATAGAGCTACAGTTCTCAGAGCAGTTTGATTTCCAATCCCTTTCCCAAGGGAATTTTGAGAATTGTGACTTTGTGAGGATCTCCTAACAACTCTCAACACTCTTAACGTAATTATTTGGGGGAAGTCATGACTGGTTAAAGTGGCATCATGCTGTTTTAAATGCATAGTACACCTGAGGCCTTTGAGGAAAATCCTGCTTGCCATTTTACTCCCCTAGTCCTGATCGTGCTATGATTTAAGCTAAGGTGCAAAACAGCACAGGCTCAAATTATTTCCTTTGAAGAAACAATTCAGGGGTGGCAACATTTTTCTTTTTGTCAGTGCTTTGCACAAGTCTATCCGGAATGAAGCAGAAATGATAAAGCAAAGGATGGCACAGGGTGGGGTGGGGCAGGAAGGAAGGAAGAAGAGAAATTGGAATAGTGAGGGTTGCGAGTGAAATCACAGTTGCACATAGCTGTCTAAAATCCAGCCCCATGAGGCCATTAAGTCCAAGGCCAAAGACAGCCACTCCATTGAACCAAAGCTCTGCCACCAAAGCCCACCTGTAATGTGCAAAAGTAGCTCACAGAGATTGTGTAATGTAGAAGAGCCACACTTCCATGGCAGAGCAAATGCTTTGTGTGCAGAAGGACCCAACCTTAGAAACTTGGCATCTCCAGGGAGGAATGCCTTCAGTCTGAAATCCTGGAGAACCGCTGATAATGGGTGCAGAGAATATGGATCAATGGTCTGACTCAATGTAAGCCAGTAGCTTCCTCTGTTCCCTCTTAAGTAATAACAATGTGGACTAGACTCCTAGCTTCTTTTTGAGAGCAAGAGCTGCAGCCATGTGGTGGAGCACACGTGTTGCATGTGGAAGGTTCCAGGTTCAATTCAGGCACCTTCAGGCAGAGTTGGAAGCAAAACTCTGGGGAGTTGCTGCCAGTCCGCATAGGCAATATTGAGCTAGATGCACCAATGGTCTGACTCAGTCTAAGGTGGCTTCTGATGCTCCTACAATCGTTGAGTCAGTTGCACTTGAGCTGCTTCTCTCTGCCGGGGAGCTCTCTCTGTCCCCCCCCCCCTTCTTTTTTTGTGATTCTACCAGCAGCATCTTTTTTTGGCTGCAATTTGCAGATGTGAGAAATCTCTAGAAAGATCTATCTGTCAAACACAAGCCTTGGCAGCCCACACATTCATCACACTCCACAGCCTTAATTCCACCCCATTCCCGATTACGGATCAGCAGGCTCCATAACCAGCCACCGTGCCACTGCTTTCACTTGAGCTGCGGAAGGCTCCTTGCTGGAGGAGCCCGGCATGCTAATTGCTATGCGCTGGGGCACGGGCAAACCTGAGCAAACTGTCAGAATGGAATGAGAAAAAAAAACTTCCAATTAGCAAGTGGGGGGAGGGGGGAAGAAGCCATTTCCTTAAAAAAAAACAAAAAACCTACCAACCTCCTAAGTCCAAGATCATTTATTCATCAGGTCCCTTTCCTTTAAAATAAGGCAAATGATAAGGTCACTGCATAAAGCAATCCTTTTCAAAGGTGTACAGTTAAGCGGATTCTAACTCTCCAAGAATTTAAGAAGAGCCCCACGCCCATCTACTGCAGTGTCCTGTTTTCAATAGTGGCTAGCTAGATGCCTCTGGTGTCCCCATGAAGGCAACACCTTGTCCTGCTCCCCCCCCCCCAAGATATAGTAGTCAGAGATAGGCTGCCATGGCACATAGAAGTTCCATTTGTTGGCAATTGCTAATGTCCACTGATTTATTGCATTTTCATCCCATCCTTTCTCCTAAAGAGCATGAGATGGCATCCACTGCTCATCTTAACCCTTTCCCATTTTATCCTCACAACAAGAACCCATTGAGGTAGGTGAGGTCTTTGTGGGTGAGTGGATCTTGTCACTCCCAGTCCAGTACTGTACCCAGGGGAAACCCTGACTCACCGGGTACTGCTGAGCCACCATTTCCATCAACCCTTACCATTGGTCATGCTGGCTAGGGATGCTGGGAGTTGTAGTCCAACAATATCAGGGGGAACAAAGGTTTTCAACCTTCCCTGCCTTAGAATTTTCTTCCTCCCCTACAGCCTATGAAAAGAAGCTCTAGAGAAGAGCAGATGGGAAGTCCTGGGCTGAACATAGCTGATGCTGCACAGAAAGTCAGTCGGTGGCTATATGCACCAGAAACCTCTGGATTTATCTTCTCCTAGCAGATTCAGTGAAGCCCAAGCACCTCCCTAGGTAACACCAGGGAGGTGATTAAATCTTTTGCCAATAATAACAATAACAATAATTCATCCTGAATGAGCGCAGGCTGGCAGACATGGCAAGGATAAAACAGTTTTAAAAAACATCTCAGGCAAGAATCTCAGGGTTGCTTGGAACAGTGTCTTTCAAACCATCAAATGTCCTGGTAAACAGCAATGTTATACTGTTTCTCCTGAAAGCCAGTAGTGAAGGAGGTAGATGCACCTCCACAGGAAGGGCATTCCACAAATGGGGAACCACCACCAAAAAGGCCCTGTTGTGGGTTAACATCAACTACTCAACCCTAGTGGCAGAACTACTACCATTGTAAGATCTGAGATGGATGATATGGGAGAAGATGCACTTTAGGTACTTGAGTCCCAGGCCTCCTAGGGATTTATTTGCTAGAATTAACACCTTGAATTTGGCTGGTACCCCATCTGCAGCCAGTGCAGTTCTTTCACTTGGCAGCAGCAGCAGCAGCAGCAGCGGGTGATTCATTCCTTGGAGGCTGGATCTGCTGCCCATGCGGATCCTGCCTCCTGAGGTGGTCATCTCACCTTGACTCATGGGTGGGGCAGCCCTGCCTTGGAGGATATAAAACTACTTCCACCCACTCATTCCTGACTACATCATAATAATATGCATTGCACTGCACAACCTCAACCCAGTAAAGAAACAACCAGCACTAACAGCAGGTGCAAACATCAACCTCACACTCAAAATAGCTCAAAGCACCCTTACACACCAGCTGCAAGCAAAACACTTTGGTTGCAATCATTTGTTTAAGTGAAAACAAAACACTATCTTCTTTCCAAGCTCCCCTTCCATCCTCAATACATATTTACCATTTGCTGTTATGTAGTCGCACCTCATATTTTATGGGCATAGATTCAATGCACTTACTATTATTGCCATTTATAGACTGCTTACCACCTGAAAGATCTCAGTGCAGTTTACAAATACATTAAGCATATATACATGGTGAGCACAATAAAATCATGTCAAATTATGATATCAGGTTGGGTGGGTGAGACAAAACTGCTTCAGCTCCAGAAGTGTGATTGCCACTTCGCCAGGAGAAATCACTGGAGATTCATCCCCATTCATCGCTACATTTAAGCTGTACATTTACCTGGAAATAAATCCCATAGAACTCAATGGGTAGACAAGTATAAAAGTGCACCGTGAAAGTATAAACTTGTGAGGATTACAGAAAAACTCGTGGATGACGTAGAAGAAATCCACCTCTGCAGGACTCTCTCCCCCCCTCCCCTTTTGAGGTTCCACTTCATGGGATACGCTTACTGGCACTGAACTCAAAATGCTGTAACCTGTGTTTTTTCTTGAGTCATATTTCAAGGGTTTTGGCATTGCATTTGGCATATATTTATATATTTATGTTTTTAATAGCTGTTTAGGATTATTCGGCTCTGCGATTGCAGGCTCTCTTTTTTGGAGATTCGTTGCTTTGGCTTTTTTAAAAAAAAACCTAGCAACAATAAAAGTCACTTTTCTCTGTTTTTCCATGCAAATACAGTTGTTGTTTTTTGTTTTTGTTTTTATTAAGTATTGCACTGAGGACGTATGTTCAGAATCCAAATGCCAACATTACAAAAACATTTATTCCTGATGGAATTCAAACATATCAGAACCCAAGAAATATCAGAATGTCAGAACAATAACGGAATACCAGTCTGTTCATCCCTAATCTCCAACTCTGAATTTGGGATATGGCCACATAACCAGATTCTGTAATTGACTAGCTTGCTTTCTACAGACGAACCTGGACCTTGATGTTAAACATAACCACTCTCAAAATGCCTGTTACTTCTAGCCTGAGACTGAGGTCCTCAGGTTCTGCTCATGGGCTTCCCTGGTAAAGGTAAAGGACCGCTGGACAGTTACGTCCAGTCAAAGGTGACTCTGGGGTTGCTGCACTCATCTCACTTTCAGGCCGAGGGAGCCGGCGTTCGTCCACAGACAGCTTTCTGGGTCATGTGGTCAGCAGGACTAAAGCACTTCTAGCACAATGGGACACCGTGACAGAAACCAGAGCACACAGAAATGCCGTTTTCCTTCCCACCACAGTGACAGTGCCAGATTTACATATAAGCTAAACAAGCTATAGCTGAGGGCCCCACTCTCTTGGGGTCCCCAAAAAAATTAAAGGAAAAAACACCTGGATATACATTTCCAAAATATAAGATAAAAAACAAATAAAACCTACATACAGCAACAGTGTTTTATGCTGTATAGGTCCATAAATTACTATATAGCATATATTCAACACAAAAAACAGCAAAAAATTGTTGTTGACAAAGGACAGCTGGACACATAAAGGGCCCCATTACGTTCAGTAGCTTAGGGCCTCATCAAACCTAAATCCGGCCCTGCACAACGGTACCTATTTATCTACTTGCATTGGCATGCTTTCGAACTGCTGGGTTGGCAGGAGCTGGGACACAGCAACGGGAGCTCACTCCATCACGGGGATTCGAACTGCCAACCTTCTGGTCAGCAAGCCCAAGAGGCTCAGTGGTTTAGGACCATAGTGCCACCCGCATCCCTGTAGCATCTGATCAGCCACTGTGAGAACAGGATGCTGGACTAGATGGGTCATTGGATGGATCCAGCATCCAAACTCTTCTTCTGTTCTTATGAATAGGTTCCAGATATACTGTTGGTGACAGTGACTTATTATGACATCATTATGCTGTGGATTTCATTTTTTACCGTATATTTTGCTCTATAAGACTCACTTTTTCCCTCCTAAAAAGTAAGGGGAAATGTGTGTGCGTCTTATGGAGTGAATGCAGGCTGCGCATCTATCCCAGAAGCCAGAACAGAAAGTGGGATTGCTGCTTTCACTGCTCAGCGATCCCTCTTGCTGTTCTGGCATCTGAGATTCAGAATATTTTTTTTCTTGTTTTCCTCCTCCAAAAACTAGGTGCGTCTTGTGGTCTGGTGCATCTTATAGAGCGAAAAATATGGTAATTATTGTACTGCATAAATTAAGTTCTTAATGTAGTGCTCAGCCCTGGGATCTTTGGATAAAAAGTGGCATATAAATTCAAATAAATAAATAATGGATAATGCCCTTGGTGGGGTTTTTTTGGGGGGTGGGGTGCAGATCCATTAGTCAATAAACATTTTTAGTAGTCTGCTTAGCAACATCGTAACAGCCTTAACAACAGAAAGTGCCTCTCTTTTGAGTTACGAAATTCATTCCCCTGTGCAGTTTCCTGCCAATTATCCAAACTTAGCATGGGAGATCAAGTAAGAGGGTTTACATAAGGTACAAGGCAAAGGATTCAGCTGCAATTCTGCAAAAAAAAAAAAAAAAAACCCATCCCACCCCATTTTCACACTCAGCAGAGAAGCACGCTGCAATAAACCACTTCCAAAGAGCAGCTCCTATCCCCCATTGTTGCACCAAATAAGCATCATTACATTGTTTCCGGGGCCTGGGTTTCTGACACACACAAGACAGGATAAATAAACCAAGAGTGTGGAATACAGTTGACACTTACCGATGTGTACAAGTATCCTTCGCTGTTCATGGCTAAGTACAGTTTTGTTTGGACGCCTTGAATTGCCACCACTCGTAAACCCACAGGTATGAGGTTAAACAAAGCTAGGAAGGAAGAAGGAAGAAGGAAGGAAGTTAACCTCTCCAGATTTCAGCAACAACTTCAAATCTTTCATTGAAGGAGACATTTTGTGAATATTTAATATGAGCTTCTTTTTTTAAAGCAAAGTAGCATGGCAGGGCATCCACACACACCCTTTATAAAGGAGCAAAGGCAAGCTAATCAACTCTCTTGGGGGTGGAATGGGGGAAGAACCCCAACAGATAAGATCATTTCACGGATCCATATATGCAAGCTTCCTGCATCCAACAGCAACCAAACAGATGCCTACAGGAAGCCCTTAAGGAAACTCTTGTCACTGTCGCTCTTTAGAAAATTGTATCCAGAGATAAACTGTCTCTGACCATGGAGGTTCTGCATCTCCATTGTGGCAAATAGCCACTGATAAGTAGGAAAAGACAAAGCTGCATGAGCCCCAAGTGACAATGAAATGATATCAGAAAGGACAATAATTTGAACATGAACAATTATATATGCAAACACTTGGGTATGCATGTGTAAAATGCAAAATTACAAAAATACAAATTCTCCAAAATATAACCACTGTATGAAAAACAATGAAGTTCTCCATGCAATACAGATAATTAAGGACGAGAGCTCCAAGATTAAACTTCGCTTCATGTTGCTTCAAAATCAAATTGGAGAATTATTCACAAGTAGCATATCCTGAGATATAATTCTAGACATCTTATCAATTAGTATCAATTAGTATCTGATTCACAGAGAACACCATTTTTTCTTATTTGGTGAATTTGTATTTTAACATTTTGTATTTTTTACAAAATGTGGGATGAATTTACCCCATATGTGCCCACTGAATCATTTTTATCTGCGGAACTGGCACTGTTACCAGTACACAACTATACTTGCTCTGTACTTGCAAGGAATCAATTTCTGGAACTCCCTGCCTATTCACATCAGAGAGGCAGCTTTGCTGCACTGTTTTGGCACCTCCTAAAACTATTCTTGTTCAGGCAAGCCTATCCAGGCACATTGAGCTGGTGTGCTTTAATCTTTTTCCTTTTTTAAAAAAACTTGTTATTATTTTTGAAGGTTTTTAATTGTTTTAAGTGTTTTTATTGATAATTTCAATATTCCTTAGAGGTTTTCCTACAGTCAGGTGTAGCATCAATCCTGTTAAATAATAAATAAATAAAATAAGCATATACCCACATATGTTCATGTTTAAATCATTATTTTTGATATAATTTCAGTCTCACTTGGGTTCCTGCAACTTCTTCCTTTGTTACTTACACATGATGAACCCCTCCTCTGTTTGTTTGCGGGGTTTTTGTTGTTGTTGAATAGCCACTGATAGGCATATGATTACATGAATTTCGAGGATGGTTGATCCTTCATCTAGTCGGTAGGTACCCTGCCAATCTGTGTTCACGCCTCCCCTCCTGCAGTTAGAGCATTGGACCAGGGCCTGGGATGCCAGCAGCCGGTCACAGTCTTTCAGCCTAACCAATCTCAAAGGGCTGTGGTGGGGATAGATTTGTTGCATAATTGCCTAGTTTATTGTGGTTGCAACCCACCCTGCATAAAGCATGGATAGGAAATCAAATAAAATAGGGGACAAATAACTAAAATGCAGAGGAGGAGAACCTTTGGAAGTCCCAGAAGCAGTCCCAATGATCAGTTGGTTGCCGGGGCTTCAAAGCACCGCAGCATCTGACTTCATTGTGATGGAAGGTGATTGACAGGTGGTCAGCCCCACACACTTATCAAATATGGCCCATACAGGATATAGATGTGTATGTGTATGTGTGAGAGGGTCAGTGAGCAACCAAAAGACATGTTAGATTTTGGATGGTACTTGCTTTGGTTTCAGTACATAGATATGCAGCAGTCCGTTTAGCAAAATGTATATACCGCTAATCATAAATAAGCAAATCATCTAAGCCATTAACATAAAACCATATAGAACATTATTATTTTTAAAGAGCAAGAGACAGACTTTGAAAGGCATCAGGCAGGATAACAATTCTAAAATACAGATACAATCAACAGGTTTTTGTTTTTTATAAAAAAAGAACCCAAATGTCCATACTAATATTCTATGTGTTGTGCATAGACTGCAGGTGGGACACAGACCACATAGAGTGCATGGGACTCAGAAAACTCAGCTGGTGCTCTATAGCTCAAGGAAAACCTGGCAGCAAAAGGCAGCACTTGTTTGTTTGTTTCTCTTCGAAAGTTGACCTAGATCTGCATGTACCCATATAAATCAGCAGGTGTAATTTTTTGCAGATTTGGGCCCCAGGTCTTTCCAGCACTTAGGAACCTTAGGAGCACCTTAGACAGCAAGTCAATAACAGCAATACATATCAAAGCATCTCCCTTGCAGCAACAGCCTGCAACCAATTCATTTCAAAACATGATAATACAGCAATCCAAACAAATGACCCAATTCTGCAACAGTTCATTTCAATAATGCTGACATTATAATGACATTTCAGCTTCGGTAGAAGATAGGCAGTATCAGCCACTAAAGCTAACACAAAATCAATTATTATTTATCAGTTGTTAGAATACATTTTGTTAAAATACATAAGCCATGAGTTGGATACAATAAAACTTTCCGGTGCAGCCAGGTATCCGTCATCCATCAGTTCTTCCAAAGAGCCAAGTGCTGTGAATAGAAACCAGATACAGGCACCCAGAAACTGCATTATACTGAGTCAGACTATTGGCCTATCTGGCTCAGTGTTATCTGCACTGACTGGAAGCAGCTTTTCAGAGGCACAGACAGAAGTCTTTCCTTGTGGTCAGTGGCGGAGCTGAGCTGATCAGCGCGCTGTGTGATCCACCCCAGTGCCCGATCTCGGTGCGGCTGCGCAATCCTCCCAGGGGCTGATCTCAGCACAGGGGGCCCCCCCCCATGACTCCCAAGCCTACAGTAAGCCGGGGAAAGGGGGAGAGCCACAGCAGCTGCTGCGCCACTTGCCGCTCGCTGGGCTTGGGGGAGTAGTGGGCGGGGGGGGGCGTGCCGAATGTCACCCCTCTTCAGGATGACACCTGGGGCGGTCCACACATCCCACACCCCTCTTCCTATGCCCCTGCTTGAGGTCCCAGGAGAGGCAGGGTACTGGACATGGGACAAATGTGTGCACACTGAAACCCCAAAGTCCCCATGGTCATCACCCTGCGCACAACTGCCCTCCGGCCATCCTCGTACAGAGTGCGTGTGGGAAACTGGCCATGCTTTTGTGAGGTCTCCCCCACAACCCCCACCCATGCACAAATTGATGTGGACTTGTGGTGAACTCAGTTTAAGATTAGAGAAATGAGACACTGAAATTGACAGCTTTATCCATTCCTACTACTGGGCTATGATTAAAATACAGGCAGGTCGAAACCTTCTTTCTCAAGGTTAACTAAGGGGCCATCTACAAAAGCCCATACAAGTGGCTGGCTGAAAATTACTTCTGTAGGACAGTGGTTTTCTAGGGTGGGGGAAGGAGCTGCATAGATAGGAACCCACCATGGGAGTACACCATGCTCATAAGACCTCTTTTTGGCAATCTCTCTACCCTGCTGTCATTATCATGGTCATTTTTGCTAGTTCCTAATAGCAATGAGAAGCAGGTTACAAAAAGTTTCTACATGAGGAATGGCCACAATATCTTCTGTAGAGTGTATCATAATTTCAGAGCTTCGGGGGAAATGGTTTTGTTTTTGTTTTTTGGCAGCCATTTATTATGTGGTCTTAACATAAACTTGTCTTCCCAACAGAGAATCTAATTATTTATGCTAGCGGTAAAAAGGTTCATTGAAAATGAACACATTTTGTCATACGCAACATAATTGGTATCACTCCTGGTTCTTCCTTTGGCTACTATGAACATTTAGCAGCCACCAGATTCAGACTGCTGAGAGAAGTGTCTAGGGGCCTACCCACAATCCATCTGCCTCATCCATCACACATATGAGGGTGCAGAAATTTGGAGTGGCTGAATGGAAGACTATTCAGATGCACTTCCCAGTAGCATGGGATCATCACAAGGAGAAACAGCATCCTGGAGCCAAGCTACTTTTCTTCAGGAGATGAGGCTGGGGATTCAGAGTGGAGGGAGAGGGACCATCAGTGTGAGCCTTAGAAGTACTTGCACCGGAGAAGCCCTAACAGCCAGTACCCTTCTCTCCACCCTCTGACTCAGAAGACTTCATCTCAGAAGGCCCAGGGCAAGCAGAGTCTCCTTACTCCACCCAAGCAAACCATTGTTGGAGAAGGCTTGGGCTTCTTAAATTAAAGAAGCCACATTTATTGAGACAGAACTCCAGCTCCTATAAAAGGCTCGGCCTGTGAGTAGCTGTTGCTGAAGCAACATCTAAGCTGTGTTTTGATGCTGCATTCTTCATCCTGAGCCATGGAGCTGTCCATGGTACCTCCCTTGCTTTTGTTGAGACCAGAACTTACATCAAAATAATTCATTAATATAGATTCATTCAATTTACTGTATTTTTTCTCATGAGTGTGGCTTTGAATTGCTCTGAATTTTGATATATGCTTCTTTTTTTGGTTAAAAATATTAGTCCAATGTTTGGTTTTGAGTGGGTTGTTTGCTGTTAGCTGCATTGGGCTTCACTTTAGAATGAAAAGTGTGGCATAAGCAATAGAGGAGGTGTGGAGAAACTTGGCCCCTTCCACATGCTACAACCCCCACCATCCCTGGCCATTGGCCATGCTTGCTGGGGCTGATGGGAGTTGTGATTCAGCAACATTTGCTGAGCCAGAAGCTCTCCATCCCTGCAATAAATGGATGTGAATACGAGTAACACCTAGATAACAGTTGTTAGGGGTTGGCAGGGCTCTGAAGAGTGTGTGGTGGAGCCAGGCGACCGGGGGAGTGACCCAGGAGATGGGACCAGCGATTTTCTAGGGTGTCATGCCACCTGCAAGGCAGGAGCCTTGGGAGAAGGGAGAGTCTAGGAAGTCTGAGGCAGAAGAAGGCATGCAGGATGTGGCAGAGGAAGAAGGGATGGTCCAGGTGAGGGGCGGGCCAGTAGATTCCCCACCTTCCCGTGACAAACTTGGGAAGGCAGCTCCCTGAGGAGCAAAGAATGGACAGGGGAGTCCATGCAGCCCTTTGGGTTTCAACACTGATTGCGTGAACTCTCTCCCTTTAACAAAGCACAAGATGACAGGAAAAGCTTCATTTGCGCTGAGTAATAAATGGTTCAGTCCCCAGCATCTCCAGGTAGAGAGATGGAAAGGCTCCCTGAATAAAAATCTGGGCAGTCGCTGCCAGTCCAATGTAGACAACACTCAGCTAGATGGCCAACTCAATATTAAGCAGCTCCCTATTTTTTTTTGCAACCGATTCATGGTGGACAGATCTAGTTGTGACTGACTACCTGTGTTAGGCAAAAGCAGAACAACAGCCGAGTTGTGATGCTGCTGTCACACCCTGCTTGTGCACCACCTTGAAGCATTATTTTATTTATTGCATTTCTATACAACCTATTCAACCAAGATCTCTGGGCCATTTAAAACCAAGACTAAAATGAAAATCCATTTTGCAATAAAAACACATTTTAAAAAAAACAAAAACACACAATGTTTTTTAAATAATAATAATCCCACACAGAAAAAGTCCAGGAAAAGAAAGCCACCTAAAGTTAGCAGAAAACCAAGCCCCCCAAACAATTAAATCCACCTTAAAACCCAATAACTTGACAAAAAAATACAAGCGTTTGACAGATCATAATGGAAAAGGCATGGGAGAAGAAGAAGCTTGGTGACTATCAATGTCATGCCCTGGGTGCCAGGCGAGCCTTTCTGGGGAGGCCATTCCATCTGTGAGGTACCACTACTAACAAGACCCTCTCCCTAGAAATCACTTGCCTTTGGCAAGGAAAACCTAGGGAAGAATCTCTGAGGAAGATCACAAGGTGTGCTTGAAAAAAGGCATTTCATTAATTCATTCATTCTATACCACCCTTCAAGGATCACAGGGCAGTTCACAATATAAAAACATAAAAATACAGAACACAATAAAAAGCAAAATAAAAAATATCCCCCCCCCAAAAAACACAGAACCTTCCTGGTTGGCCCTGATCAAAAGTCTGAATGCTGAAGTGGATGAGCCACTTAAATGGACTTGAATACTTCAAGAGTTTTGACACTTGAGATGTGTATCATTAGGACCCATCCAGTTATTGTCATTGCAATTTGTTTTAAATTGCATTTAATGTTGTATTTTGAATTATTGTGGTCCACCCTATGACCTCAGGGTGAAGAGTGGGTAGATCATGGAAGAGGAGGAGAACCTATAAACAAAAACAAAACAAAAAAGGAGGCTCTCTTCCAGATCACTGTGCATAACTAATTCAGCTTTCCTACAGCTGCCATCTCTGCAAGAACTATGTTCTTGAACTATGAGACCTTTGGGTATTGGGCGGTATTAAATTAAATAAATAATAATAATAATAAAATAATGTTTTTAAAATAATTGTCATGAACACAGACTCCTGAAGGAAAGCTGTGCTGGGATAACTCCCACCCTCCAACAAACAAATGATTCAAAGGTTTATGGACATATTTGTGTAAGGAAAAAACATTTTCCCACTGGATATTTTCACCTGACTAAATCCAACTCTGAAGACAGAGAAGAAAGTGAAAGCAGAATCAATCTGAGGTCTATCACCAGAGTGTGGAACATGCAAATTTAATGAAGTGGGCTGGTTTCTTCACCCTCTCCCCCACAGTTCTTGGTGGGATCATTTGTTTCTGGTACTTTTGGAGAAGCAACGGCTTGGATTTATTCCAGGCAAAATGAGGGAGTGAGAAAACTTTCTCCGGGTGGAGAACAAAAACCTAATGAGATCCAAAGCAAAGAGATGAAACCCTCCAGATCTCTATGGAGATAACATTTGCACAGGTTTTTCAGAAGCCACCACTACCTCCACTGGTTCATCGAACATTCAAGTGTTTTTGTACAGAAGGTTGAACAGCAAACACACAGACAATAATGATGTTGCCTTGATTCCATCTGCCACATGCTATCTCCAAAACAGGCATTGGATTTGGTGTTGTTGTTTTTTAAGCCATTCATATGGACTTGTAGACTGCACAAACAAACCATTTCCAAGGTGAATACTCACTGTAGGTACTCTCTTCCTCTTTAGTGCCATCGATAGTTCCATCTGCTTGTAGCTGCAAGTGATACCCTTGCCGGCTGTACAGTTTTGTTACAATGCCTTTAAGCTGTGGTTCTGTAAGAAAACAAACAAGGGGAAAAGATTAAAAGTTCAATTCTGAAACTGACATTGCATATGCTTTCGGTGAACAAAAAAGACATGCCTCATTTTTCCAGAGAGAAAGACCCCCAGCTAGAAGTTTCGCAGCTATTTGTGAGATTGCCGAAACAAATCAGCAAATGGAGGATTGGTGGTCACCACTGACTTGGGGTAAGAAATGCAGGTGGTTTTAAAACACAAATCTTGTGCCAGTGGATCAAAATGCCAGCAGTATGTTACATGGCTGAAGGAGCTAGATCTGATTGCTATTAAGATTAGAAATGTGCTGGCAAGGAAAAGATCCTGCTTTTTAATGAGCTTGAGATTCATCAGCAGTAGAATAAAAAGAGAAGGGAGGAAGGAAAAACACTTCTTAAAATGAGAGGACGTGTGCTAACCAAGAACCAAGCTGAGAGGTATAGTTAGTACCACTGCAGTTCCAATTAACCATTGAGCATCAAGAGACAGAAGTACTAAAATATATGCTAGAGGAAGGTAATAGGAAAGAGGGTAAGTGTAAGCAACAATACAGCAGAATTGAACCCAAATTATGCTTTTACTTGGTTTCAAATGGTGTGTGTGTGTGTGTGTGTGTGTGTGTCAGTGAGAGAAAGAGAAAGACAGATACTCTACAGTGAATATCTGGAATTTGGCAAGTATTGCGATTCCAGACAAATGTTGAGAATGTCCAAAAACACCAAGGATACACTATCCAAAGTTTTACATTCTTAAAATAAATTAATAATAATAATAATAATAATAATAATAATAATAATAATAATAAATAATTTCTTTAAAGTGTTTAAACTGGGTTGAATGTTGTATTTTTACATTCCTGTAACCTACCCTGGAATCTTATAGTGAAAGAGAGAGAGAAGGAAAGAAGAAAGAAAGAAAGAAAGAGGATCTGTCTGTATCCAAAAAGTAGGGAAATCTGTCATTTGTCTTTGAATGTTCCCCAGACATTCATTTGGCATTGTCAGCATCCATGTGCAAATGTCAGCATGTGCCACAGTCGGATGATTCACTGGAAAGTCTACGCAGTCCTCCATGATTTCGGCATCGAGACTCCTGTCCCCCACACCCTCAGGTGCCCCTGGCTAGAGCAGAGTGCCCCTTGACTGGGATTAGGGAGCCCAGCAAATGCACACCCATGCCTCCATCTGGAGCCTGCTATGCAGCTAAACAGACATATGAACATTTCCGAAACTCATGGGTACAACAACATCCTTGCCATCTTGATGGTTAGTAAATGAGACTGTAAGGCTCAGTCAGAGCATCAGAGGAACGTGAAGACTTGGCTGAAGAATGACTTGTGACACAATGAAATGTAGCCTCATGAATGGCACGTTTCTTTCCAGAAAGGGTCAACAAACACCTGCGCCATAGATATGGAGATCTGTGCCTGGGGATTTGTCTGGCTTCATCAATTTTAGTTAGTTTGGGACCTCTGCAGTGAAACAGTGAGAGGTGCAGAAACAATTGTTGTCCACCTCCAGCCACAGCAAAGCTGTTCCCATCTCGTTCAAGTGGGATCTGGCAGTGATGCATACTGCTTTCCAAAAGCAACCTTGCAACATTAGCAAAGCAGACTAACCTGGTGATGCTGTCAAGCTTATTTAGGGCCTCACCATCCGTCATGTCCCTCTTTTAGGTTGCATCTAAGTGGCCTTTAGGACGCAGGTGGCGCTGTGGTCTAAACCACAGAGCCTAGAGCTTGCCGATCAGAAGGTCAATGGTTCGAATCTCTGCAACAGGGTGAGCTCCCATTGCTCAGTCCCTGCTCCTGCCCACCAAGCAGTTCGAAAGCACGTCAAAGTCCAAGTAGATAAATAGGTACCACTGTGGTGGGAAGCTAAACGGCATTTCCGTGCGCTGCTCTGGTTCACCAGAAGTGGCTTAGTCATGTTGACCACATGACCCGGAAGCCGTACGTCGGCTCTTTCGACCAGTAAAGCGAGATAAGCACCGCAACACCAGAGTCATCCGCAACTGGACCTAACCGTCAGGGGTCCCTTTACCTTTACCTTTAAGTTACCTTTGGAACTTTTTGTTTTTTGGAAGAATACCTCTAGAAATGCGATGTACTGTGATGACAAATGGGGTTGAAAACACACACATCGTACAGGCACCCACCAGGTTTTGCTACCACTTCTCATCAGCCACCTACTTAATGGAAGATTTTACAGGTTTGGAAGATTTAGCGAAGCAAAACCAAGGAGCGGGGATTTGCTAATTCCGTTTTCCAAAATACGCTAGAGCATTTACATGCTTGCTCATCCCTTGTTGCTGTGTAACATTTGAAATGGCCCATAGTTATCAGACCCACCACAAACTGGATTGCTGATTGTTGGCCCAAAATGCTGTTAACAAGAATGACCCTCTACTTCCTTTTACAGCCTGTCATTTCAGGTCCCTTCACTTGTTTTTTAAAAAAGCATATGTGTACACAGAAGATGTGTCTGTACACGCACATACACAAGAAATGCAGCATATAAAGTTGAGATGTGTGTTTGCAAATACATGTCTTGTACAAGTTCCTTGCATCAGAGAGTGACATAGCTCCTGGTCAAGTGAGCACAGTTAACCCAGGGATAATAGCTAGGCAGTGCATGAAACAACTCTTAGTTCTTCAGCTGGTTAAGAACAACTGGAATATTTAATGGTTGCGAGTTTGGTGATTTATTTGTTTTTTAGAAAAGTAAAACCAGAGGAGAGGGAATTGGCTCATTCCCCTTTCCGCATTTAGATGCTTGCTCGTTCCTCCCCACCCACCCAGGTGCATCCCTCGTCTCACACATTTTATACGGAAGACCAACCTTACAAAAGGGTGATAGGAAAGTACTGGTGACAACAGCAGCCTGGAGCAAATGCACAGATTTGCAAAGGGATACTAGTGATAGAGTGGGCAGCCTTGGAAAAGAGAGAGCTCTACCAATGCACTATCTGAGCCAAACCAACATTACAGGGTTTTTGAGAGGATAAAGTGGGATAATACCATCTAGAATTACAGAATCATAGAACTGCAGAGATGGAAGGGACCGTGAGGATCCTCTAGTCCAACCCCCTGCAACGCAGGAATCTTTTGCCCAACATGGGGCTTGAACCCACAACCCTGAGATTGAGTCCCATGTTCTACCAACTGAGCCATCTCAGTCCGCAATGGGCATATGCGTGGCCCTGAACTACTTTGGCATAGTTAGTGGGTGGCTAGAAATAAGACAGATTCACATGAAAATGTGGGATGCGACAATGATGCATAAACACAACGGGAGTTGGGTAAGGTTATCTCTCCATCCCTCGCAACTCCATCCTCATGTAACATATCCTGAGTGGGTATGCAGGGGGTGTATGAAATATGTATACAGATGACAGGGTTGTGTGTGGAAATAAATGGAGCCTATAAGCCAAACTGCATGTGTGCATTCTCTGAGTAAGTCACCGATGGTTGAGGTCGGGGGTGGCGAAGGGCCATAGCTCTGTGGCAGAGCATCTGCTTTGCATGCAGAAGGTCCCAGGTTCAATCCCCAGATAGGATTCCTGCCTGAAACCCTGGAGAGTCACTGTCTGCCAGTGTAGACAATACTGTGCTAGATGGGCTAATGGTTTTACTTTCTCCTATGACCCATCTACCATCTAAGCCTGGGTTGTCAACCTGGTCCCTACTAGTGGGTGTTTCAGGATTCTAGGTGGTCGGCAGGGGGTTCTACGGCACAAGCTGAATCCTCCTTCCATCAAGCACTGGTGGGCAGTAAGGAAATTTTACCATCAAGAAAGATGAATTAGTGGGTGGTAGGTATAAAAAAGGTTGACTACCCCTGATCTAGGCAAATGAGGAAAGGCGGTAGCTCAGAGGCACCTCGAGTTACAAACGCCTCAGGTTACAAACGCTTCAGGTTACAAATGTATGTGCATTCAGAAAGTCCCAGGTTCAATCCCCAGCATCTTCAGGTTGGGCTGGGATGGAATAACCCCTGCCTGAAAACCTGGAGGACCACTGCCAGTCAGTGTAGACAATGCTGAGCTACATAGACCAAGGTGGCTTCTTATGTTGCTGATGCGCAAACATACATCTCAAGTGAGTGCAGAAATCTGGAACAGCAGAGAAATCCAGGATGGTACATGAACAAGGGAGAGGCAGAAGATGTCATTCACCATTGTGTCCATGGGGCTGGGTGCACAAAGAGAGACACATTCTTGGCATGCCGATTCCTTTGTGTGTGTAGAGAGAGAAAAAAAAACCTCCATAAGAAACTGAAATCAGCCATTGTCAAAAATGCACAGGAACTTAGGAATGGAAACAAGCGTAGGTAATCCTAAGGACAGTTACAAGTGTGTGGGAAAGGAAAGAAAACTGGTGCCTGTCTATATTAGTGAGTGTGCAAGATGCTCAGAAGGCATAACAAGAAGTCCTTTAGTAAGCATAAGAAAAGGAGGAAAGAAAGAAAGAAAGAAAGGGGCTGAAGATCTGAGGCAGAGCAATGTGAAAGGAAAAAGAGGGAGATCAGGGACTGGGGCGTTTAAAGCACTGGAAATCAAAGAGAAGTCAGAGCAGTGGAATGAACAGAGTCCCGAACTTAGAGCAAGGAGATCCAGGTTCAAATCCCCAGTCATCTGTGAAGCTTACTGGGTGATCTGAGCCAGTCACCCCCCTCAGCCCAGAGTACTTTACAGGGCTGTCGTAAGAATAAAATGAGGCTGGGCTGATACCCAACTCTGAGCTCCTCTGAGGAAGGGCAGAATGCAATTGCAACCAAGGCTGTGTATGCACCATATATTTAAAATAAGTCCCCCCCCCCCCGCCCACAAAAACAAAGAATCCCGGGAACTGCAGCTACAGTTCCCAGCACCCTTAAACTGCAGTTCCAAATATTCTTTCGGAAGGTGTTTTAAAGGTGTTACCACAACAAAAAAGGTGGATTTGGGTAACTAATTATTACCATTGGTATCTGAATGCTTGGCTTTCCATTGGCTCCATTAGCCATTATGTTTTGCTGTATGGAAGAGCATCATGCTCAGCTGGTCATGTGTCAATTGCCACATTTCTCTCCCAATACATGGACCAGGAAGCAGAGATGTGCCAATCAACTTCCATTCACATCTCAACCTGCAAGCTTGATGTTAAAATTGGTCTCTTAGGACTGCTTTCATATGTTACAGGAAGCTCATCTGTGTCAGAAAGCACATGGAACTTGTGCATAGATACTCATTTGTTTAATTTGATTGTGTGTTGTTGCTGCAACATGGGTGGAGGGGAGCACCACCCATGTGCGAAACATGTCTGAACATAGCAGTCCCCCTGATGTATCAGAGATGTACCTGACCCAAAAGCAAAATCACCCTGATACTTCTATGACTCACAGGCACTGCAAGCAGCAGTTGTCACTGGTGTCTGATACTCAGAGGTATACTACCTTTGAATATGGAGGTTTGTTTTCACTATTGTGGTCAACACCCAGCTGTTACACTCCACACATCTAACCACAGAAGAGCCATGGAAGCTCCTGGCTGCCACCATACAATGGCCAGACAATGCGCCAAGAGGCCCCATGCAACCAGCCAACACTTGCATCCTGCTCCATTAAAGGAACATCGGAAACTGGCTTACAGTGAGTCAGAACACTGGCCCAACTAGCTTAGTACTGTCTACACTGACCGGCAGAATTCTTTCAGGGTTTCAGACAGGGAGTCTCTCCAGACCTATTTGAAGATGCCAGGGATTGAACCTGGGACCTTCTGCATGCAAAGCAGAGATTCCACCACTGAGCCATGGTCCTTCCCACACTACAAAGGGCTGCAACTAATCAGGAACTGTTGCAAATATACCTTTTCTTTTTTCTTTTTTAAAAAACACCCTTTGTTGCCTCCTGAGCATGCAGGTCACAAGCCCCAATAGCCACATAAGAAGATGGTTTCGATCCACGTTGGGGTGGGGTAGCAGATTAGTGCAGCCAGGGTTGAAGGTCCCCAACTCACTCCTTGGCATTCTCAGCCCAGAGGGAGATAAATCAGAGCAGAAATGACTGGAATGGATGGACTAATGTTTGCCTCTCATATAAGGCAGCTGCATAGGCTCCTACAGCATTTGCTCACATCTCCCCCTCCCCCCCCCAGTAGGAAAATCAGAATGCCTGGCTTTGGTCCTCCACAGAGAACCCTGCAGGACCACAGCAAAAGGGTCCATCTAACTCAGCATCCCGTTCCCCACAGTGGCCAGTCAGACACTTATGGGAAAGCCGTGAAGCAAGGGAGTGAAGGCAAGAGCCCTCTCCTGCTCTTGCTCCTCAGCTCCTGATATTCAGAGGCATTCTGCTCTTGTTCATGGAAGATCTAACTCTTGTGTTTAAGAAGAACAGAAGAAAAGCCCTCTTGTTGCAGACTGAGGATCCAGCTTCCATCTCCTAACAAGAGCTAGGCAGGTGCCTCCAAAAGGCCCAGAAGCAGGGGGACTTCCAAGCAATAGCCCTCCCTAACACATTCAACAGTATTCTGACATACGGAGCTGCCTTTATACCAAGGCAGACCACTGGGTCCATCTAGCTCAGTATTGTCCACACTGACTGGCAGTGGCTCTCTAGGGTTTCAGGCAGGGGACATTCCCAGCCCTACCTGGAGATGCCAGGGAATGAACCTGGGACCTTCTGCCTGCCAGGCAAATGCTCTACCTCTGAGCCTTTCCACAAGGGGCATTAGACACCAGAGTCCAAAGAGCCACCAAGACTAACAGAGCTCACCTCTCCCCAGTGATAGGAGCACCAGAACAGGAGACCAGAGGTCCAGCTAGTCCAGAACCCTCCAATCGCAGTGGCCTATCAGACGCCTTACAAGGAAGCCTACAGCCGGCAGGGAACCAAACAGCCCACCCCGGTTTTCGCAGGGGTGCAGCTCCTCACCCAGGAACCGGTCCATCTCCCCCCAACCGGGAGCAAGCCTGCCACCCCTCGCCTCCCCCACCAGCGACCAGCCCACCTGGTTTCCTCCTCCGCCTTTTCTTGGAGCCGAAGAGCTTGACCCTGGAGAAGACGCTGAGCTTCTTCTTGTCGGCACAGCTGGTCTTGGTCTTGCTGGGGCTGCTGACACATTTGCAGGCGTTGGACTTCTCCCGCTCCCTCGCTTGCCTCTTTTGTCGGATCAGGGAGCTGGCGATGGCTGCTGCCATAGCCGCCACCCTGGAGGGTCAGACGTCGGGGCTGCGGGGGCTGCCTGCGGGGGGAGCCCCCAGCATGCTGCTCTCGCCTCCCCTCGGAAAAAATTAATATACGAAGCGAGGCCTGGCGTGACAGGAGGCCAGGCCACCTCCCGCCTCGCAAGAAAGGTGGGGCAGCCGCCTCTTGGGGGCCACGCGGGGAGGGGTGCGTCCGCGCGCCTTTCGGTTTGGGGAGCTGTCCCGACTATGCCGCCCAGCCCCGATCCCTTCCTGTGGATAGAGTAGAGGGAAAGGGGTGGAAAAGAATCCCTCTCAAACTTGGCCCCGGACTGAAAAGTTGCCTGCCCACTCAGCGAAGAGAGGAAGCCAACAGGTCCCTCGACGTCTCCAAATGCTCCCTTGGCGCAGCATTGGCGCTGTCGGGCCCTGACGGCGCCTCGCGCCGAAGCTTCGTCCCCTTTCCCCTTTCTTTCGACCACTGGCAAAGCAATCACCCTTTTAGGAACTCGGAGGGAGACAGGGAGGTGGAGAGAAAGAGGGAGGCGCGGGGAGCGCCCGGGCTGCTGTCCGTTCCCTTCTTGGAAATGTGGGCACCAGTTGTGGCGTCTTCTTCAGTAAGTTCTCCAAGCTGCTGCTGCGTGCGGGGCTGTCCGGGTCCCCCGGGGAGCGCCAGCGGCTTGGCACGGGCTCTCCTCAAGCCGGGAGCGGTAGCCGCAGCATCTCCCAAATCCTCCTCCTGGCTTTGGCGTGTTTTCGGATAGAAGATGGGGAGGGGGGTGCGGGTGAGAGAAGCTGGGTTTTCCTTCGACAGCAGCACCTGCAAAAAAAGGCAGCAGCAGGACTAACGGAGGCTGCGCTCTCTTTGCCAGAAGCCGCACGGCGACGCAGCAAAGCCCCTCAGCAGCACAGCTCAGCAACCCCCTCCTTTCCAGCAAATGCAGAAATCGGACTAAGAGCGAAGGGAGTCGAGGAGGAGGATGAAGCACAAGAAGAAGAAGAAGGGGAGGGGGCGAAGCAGCTTGGAGGCAGACGCAGCTGTGGCTAGAGGAGGCGGCCGTCTCCCTGGGTAGGTAGAGAGGCGGGGGGGGGGGGAGGGCGAGGACGGCCCCTCTAAGCAAGAAGCGCCTCTCGGTGGGGAAAGAGGCAGCAGACACCCAAACAGACGTGACTTGCGTTAGAAAGAACTTCGAGGAGATAGGATGCCGAGTGGCAGGGGAAAGGTGGGGGCGGGGGCACGCGTCGTGAGAAACCCGACAGGCGGGCACGCTTGGGAGGCGATGGGTGTCCAGGGAAAAGGAGCAGGAGGAGGACTCAGCGGTTGGCTCGGAGCAAACGGTCCACCTTTGAATTCTGCCCTTGCATCTTTCTCGTTCTCATCCTGCGGGGAAGCTCACACCAGCAAGGCATTAAGGAGTCCAGGCATCCCACCGAAGCCAGTAGAAGAAAATTAAGAAGGAGAAGGATGGTGGGTTGGCAAACCCCACAAAATCTGCACCCAAATTTAACCACATGCCCTCACGTCAGAACACAGTGATAAAATAACTGGTTGCAGTGCCCCAGGAAAGGAAACCAATCAGGGTCCTTCTGGGTTTTAAGAAGGGGCAAGGAGCTAGTTCCTCAGGAAGGCTTTCCCCAAACTGCTTGTTGTCTGCACCATGATTTTGGTGAGGGGGTGATTATAAGCTCCTAGTAAGCAGAGACCTTTTGCCTCTCCGATTTTGCTTTTGGGTTTTCTCTGTAAGCCTGCAGAGCTGACTTGCTTCCCCATTCCAACATGTGAAAAGTGGCCTTGCTTTCCATTTCCAAATATTAGCCTGGTAGCAAACATGGGCAGTTTAAAATAAACCCTTAGTGATTTCTTGAATGCAGAGAAGCCAGGCAAAAAATTCCATCAAAACGTTCAAACAACAGAATCTGGATTGAAGTGTGGTTCTTCTGAGAAATCAGAACACAGATCTAAAAACAGCTGGCTGTCGTGCTTTTGACCAATCAGCCGCATGTTCATCCAGAATGAGGAAATGGTCTTTCTTGCCATAAGCACATTAATGAGTGTTTGACTTCCTCACTACATCTGTGTCCTCTTGAACAGCTAAGCCCTTCTTGCCAAGTCATCTCCTGAGATGTCATCAAAGCCAAATACACAGACACAGGGTTGGTTGTAGGGCTTCAAGACTACTGATCCTGTGATGCTGTGAACACTGGACAAAGTATGCACATACCTGGACAGTGCTTACAGAAAGAATCAAAGAAGTTGGAAGAGACCCCAAGGGTCATCCAGCCCAACCCTCTGCAATGCAGAAATCACAGCTAAAGAATCCATGACCGATGGCCACCCAACCTCTGTTTAAAAACCTCCAGTGAAGGAGATTCAGCCACCTTATCTACAAGATACTATGATGCATCCAATTCCAAGCAGAAACTTGTGTGATGATAACTGGGACCCAAATTACTAAGAGCAATTGAGACAGGCAAAAGTAAATTGTTTCATCTGTCGTACTCTCGGTCATCACCTGCCTTCTCATGCCACCATTGCAACAAGCCTCTGTTATGATCAACAGCCACTCCTTTCTTCTTTCTCAGAAATTTCTTCTGCCATCTTCAGGGAACCAGTGAAGTTGTCAGAGTGTCAGACAAGGACCTTGGCAACCAACTTTCAAATCCCACTTTGGTAATGAAGCCCTCTGTGTGACTTGGGGCCAGTCACCATCTCTTAGCCTAACCTACTTCACAGGGTCATTGTGAGGAAAGAACTATGTATACCACTTTGAATTCCTTTGGAGGAAAGGTGGAATACAAATGTAATAATAAAAAAATAAAAATATCCTAGATGGAAAGTACAGAGTAAGTTTTTGAGATCTTCAGTGAAGGTCTAGGCACATCAGAGGGGAGCAATAAAAAGGCAGAGCCTGCCTGCCTGCCCACACCTGAGAATGGAAACAGTGATTGCATCATGGCTTGCAGCTGGTACTGCCAAAGTGCAAATTGTTGTGGTTAATTCAATTTATATACTGCCCCTTATCCAAAGATCTGCGGGCAGTGTACAACATTAAAAAGATAATTTACATAGCATAATAATGAAAGCCAATCATAGAAATAGTTATAACAACAGTCCCCCCCCCAAATTTATTTATTTTAAAAAAATGGATTGTTTAATGGCCAAAGAGGAATGTTTTCGTCTGGAGCTTAAAGATATGTAATGATGGCACATGAAAAAGGGCCTCAGATGATGATCACAGGGTTAGGGTTGGTTCACATGGGGAGAGGCGGTCCTTGACATATTGCGGTCCTGAGCCATGTAAGGCTTACAGGTCAAAACCAGCACTTTGAATTGGGCCTGGGAACTAATTGGCAGCCTGTGTAGTCAGGCCAGCATCAGGGTAATATGCTCAACTCGTCTTGCCCCAGTGAGGAACTTGGCCATCAAATTTTGCACCAGCTGAAGGTTCTAAACCATCTTCAGAGGCTAATGCCATGTTGCAGCAATCAATTATGTAGTTCAGTGGTGTTATTAAGAAAGAATATTGGTTTGTGATCAACAGCTAGGCACTTTTCTCCAGTTTTTACACTGAACTGCAAATCACTCTGCAAAATCCAAGACTTGTCCATAGGTCTATGTCATTTCATGCATAATTCACAGGGTTAAGCTTACATTGGTAAAACCAACTGCTCACCTAGACTCCTCTGACAGCCACTGTCTTATAATGGCTAGAGTTTAGGGACAAAATGGGTCCGGATTCCAGTCCCTGGTCAGAGAAGTTGATTCTTTGGGTAACTACAATCTTTTTTTTTAGCTTAACTGACCTCAGGTTTATTGTGAGACTAAACAGGAGTGACCATTAGCACATCAGTGCAAGACCCTGATTCAAAATTCAACAAATCGGTGGCTTCAAAGAGACAAAGTGGCAATGGTGTTTTGGGGAGCTGTTTTAAAAATATTTTATTATGCTTTATATACCATACTTACTCCATAATAAGTCCAGGGCAGTGGAGAAAGCAATTAAAATACCATAATTTACAACAGTGGTGGGAAGTCCCTAGCCTGGGAGCTATATGTGCCACCCAGGACACACCAAAAGCCACACTCCCTCACCCTAGGAGCACCAGCCTGCTGTGCACCCTTCCTCAGTGCTTTGCCTGACTGGTCTGTGCCCTTGAACTATGCAAATGCCTCTTGCTTGACTGTTTGAAGGATAGAGAGGGGTATTTGTGTGTTCCTGTATACACACACTGACTTTTGTATGGCTGGAATGTGTGATTTGCTTTATTCTGAACTATTTAGATAGTTATTTTATACTGTACACTTTGTTTTACACGACTTTTTTAAAAAAAATTGTTAAGTGGTATATACACTTGCTCGCCATCGGCGAGAGTTCAGTGCTGGGGCACGGTGAGGAAGAAAGAAAGAAAGAAAGAAAGAAAGAAAGAAAGAAAGAAAGAAAGAAAGAAAGGCTTCAAAGTGGTTGAGCCCCTTGGAGAGTCCCTTAGTACCTCGTGGTAACATGAAAGCAGTGTACGAGAGTCCCTGGCTGTCATGCATGGCAATTAAAGAGATGCATTTCAAGATGCCAAGATGCCAAGATCCATTCCCACTGGCAGTAGCCAGGAATCATCAATGCTACATTTGCAAGGCTGCCAAATGACAGTGTAAGTGCATAATGCCAAAACCGTTCCCGTATTTCTCTTTGCATGGATAAAATGAAGTGTGGTTAATTCAGCCTAACATTACAGACATGGCTGTTTCACTAAATGACAGCCCCACTAGGAACACGCTGTTCACAGAGGGACTTCTCTTTTGCTTTCGGAGTCACCCACAGTTCCAAATCAAATTGCTAGCCATTCTAACGTTTATGAAGTTTGTTCGGGATTATTCAGGACCAGGAGTTGCAATAGGCTGGGTTCGGGGAGGTGCAGGAGACATGTGGGTTGTTAGGAACCAAGAGACATTATCACATGTCCCATCTGCACTACACCTTTAAATAAGAAACATGCCACTTTAAACCAGCATGGCTCCG